CTACTCCTAGAGACAACCAGACATTGCCAAATTGGGGGTGAGGAGGAAGGGTCAGAATCAACCTAGTTGAAAACCACAGAGCTAGGAGATGGCTGCTAGAAACAGTGGGGTTCTTGACAAGTTCTTGACCTGGGGGCCAGAACAGGGAGAACCGGTATATATAGTAGCCAACATTATGTGGCATAGGTCAACATAGAGTGGCCTACAAAGAAGCCAGAGACTGAAGTTCCATTCTCAGTCTTGAACATTCTGAGTAGAATGCAGGTTACCCAGCAACCACATATGCTGAAACCTCAAATACCTCCCCTAAGGGGAGGTCCAGTCTATGGTTCCGAGAAACCTCAATGGTCACTGCCAAGGCAAACTCAGGTGGCCTTGGCATTTTCCCCAGGGATGATTTAGGATTGCCAAAACATACCTCTGCCTCATCCCCTCTATGGTTTCATCCTCCACCTTCCTCTATGCTCAAATCCCACTGATCTCCTTGGCAAATCTACAAGTCAAGCAGTTCATGCCCTGGGGCCTTTTACCACAACAACTTCCTGGACCAACAATCTTTACTCTCTTCCACTCCACTTAGTATCTGCTTAACCCTCACGTCTATACAAAGGTCTCCATGCTCTCCATATAATCTATTAACCATTTCAGAATACTGACCACCAGAATACTGCCTGTGCTCATTTATTTGCCTGTTAAGGTCTACTCTCGTCTCTAAGTAGCTTGAAGAATTCTTGTCAGCATTCCCAGTGCCCATTCTGCACCTGACACGGTAAATTTGACAGATACTGAGTGAATCAATTTGGAAGTTAGCCATTTCTTGCCAAGGCTAAGCTTAGTCCCTAAGGACCCAAAGTCCCCCACTCAGCCCAAACCCTTCAAATATTTACGTATTCCCCTGGGGCCTGGCTCCTCTCCCAGCTCCCAAGCGGGCTAAGGAGGGTGGGATGGGGAAGTAGCTGCGGTATTTTGCCGCAAAACTGCGTAGGGGAGGGGATGCAATGGCGACGGCAGCGGAGCCCGCAGACTAATCTGACAGGCCAAGGCCTTAAAAACGACGACTGGAGGCGTCGAGGTTCAAGACGCACCGGCCAGGGATGGAGGTCATGAGAACCTAGACCTCAGCGCCAAGGTTTCGGGGCCTATAGAGACAGACAACAGAAGCCAAGACCTCGGGCGGCCAAGATCCAAGAGGCCAGTCTTCAAGCACAGCAAACCGAGGCGCCGTGACGAGAGGGGCGCGACTCTGAAGCTACGGGCCCAAGACGCCATTTTGTGACCGCAGAGGGCAGTGACCCCAGCGCCAGGGGAGGCGTGGGCGAGTCTGGCACGGCACCGGCATGTCTCTGTCGCGCCCACCACCCCGGGCGCGACCCCCACCCTGCCGGGCCCACCTGTGTAGCTCATGGCGGCGGCGAACACTACATCTGAAGACTCCGGGGAGCAGCTCTGCGCGTCTGACGCCGCAATAGCGGAGACAATCCCCCGGGCCCCGTCTACACACACCACAGTCCCGCCTCTCGACCGCATTGGCTCGTGCCAGCCGCGGACTTCGCGTCCATTTGACTGTCTTGCTGTCTATCTCAGAATCTCCTCGTACCAGTGGCTTAAGACCCTGCCAATCTCAGAAAGGCCCCGCCCCTTACCCGCCTCCCGTTATTCCAAGCCAGCGTTGATTGGTCGAAAGGAGCCGGTGGAGAGGTGGAGTTCCGCGGGGTTCGGAGAGGCGGAGCATACACTACGGAAAGACCCGAGGCCCAAGAGCGGTCGCACTTAAGAAGTGCCTGTGCGGTTGGAGACGCGCCAGAGGCAACGGATTCTACCACGCAGAACACTTTCCAAGTCCCAACTGTTCTATCTAAGTACTGAGCTGACCTGTGCTAAATTTATATACTTCTCTGGACTTCGGCTCTGAAACAAGCATGGTTAAGTCATACTGGAATGAGAAAATTAAGACTAAGTGGCAAATTTTACATGAAATAATATATGTAGGGGCTGAGGTTGTGGCTCAGTGGTAGAGCACTTGCCTGGCATGTGTGAGGCACTGGGTTCGATTCTCAGCACCACATATAAATAAATGAATAAAATAAAGGCATTGTTTTTTAAAAAAAGAAATAATATATGTAAAGAAATCATTCTGGTGCCAGATGCACTAGATAATTGCTACATTTTCTTTTTGCTGCATAACAGTCAACAGATTTGTAGAGGATGAGGGTGTAGCTCAGTGGTCGAGCGCTTGCCTAGTATGCTTGGAGCCCTAAATCGACACCCAACACCTCACATTTAAAAAATATATATATGTACATGAATATGATATTTATGTAAAAGATGAAATACATCTATTTGTATTATCTATCACCTCAAATGTTCCCTCAAACCTGCAAGGATTTTTTTATCCTTATTTAAAGCATAATAATTTAAAAAATAAAATGGGGACTTTGAATTCCTGATTTCCTCAAGGTCCTTGATGCTTAAATGTTAAAAAATGGAATGTCTCTTCTAAACCCCTTCTGAACTTTAGAGACTCTATGATAGCGCTGGCTACCTACAGCTGGGGGTGTAACTCAGTGGTAGAGCACTCACCTAGCATTCAGGAGAGCCTATGTTTGATGCCCAGCAACAACCCCCAACACACACAGTACAGCCCAGGGCCAGGTTTGCCCTCAGCATTCTCCTTAGGTATGTGGGAACCACTGTTAAGGACTTCTCATAATTTCTGAGATAACTTGACAGAACCAGACACTGAAAATGGTATTTAGCATGTTTGTGAAAGTCACCAAGGAGTGCAACTATAACTTGTGCACTTTTTGGTGTGCTTTAAAGTTTTGTTTTTTTAAGGTACACTGTTGCTTTTAAAAAAAAACTTTTTTTTTTTTTAGTTGTTGATGGACCTTCATTTTATTATGTGGTGCTGAGAATCGAACCCAGTGCCTCATACATGAGGCAAGCACTCTACCACTGAGGCACAACCCCAGCCCTGCTGTTGTTACTTTTGGATATTTAAAAATGATTGTCACTTTAGGAGTAATGATGGCATTTTGAAGTCCTTATTTTTCAGAGAAACATACTGAAATATTAAGAGAATAACTGAACCGATGGCCAGGATATGCTTCACTTGTAATTTATGTGGGGAAAGGAAGAAATGGGAGGTAAGCAGAGGGCTATAGATACGTTCATGAGTTATAATTCATAAATTAATAATTCCTGATAACAATTAATGAGGGTTCATTTTATTCTTTTATATGGTTGAAATTGTGCATAAATGTTTTGATAGCATACCTCCTCCTAGAATGGAGCTACGCAGAACTCGTTGCCCCATGGAAAAACCACTTAGGATACATTAGATGAAAAACTCCACATAGGAAGCACAGGGCTCTCATTGATGTGCACTAGTTCGAGGTCCATCTTTGTAATCCTTGGGGATGCCTGCTTGGCCTCCAAACTATGTCAAGGTCCTAGGACACCTCTCCTACATCCTACAGCTTTCATTGTGGAACTTGCCACAACCATCATTCACTCATTTGAAGATTTTAACATCCAACACCTTGACAGGCTGAGCGTGAGCAGTTCAAAGGCCAAGACTGTACTTTGTTGGACAGTAGAATGGCTTAAGCAGGGAAGAACCATGCTCAGAAGTTTTAGAAGACTTTCCATGGCAAGAATTATAGGCGACCCTCACAAGGACAGGCAGAGTTATTAGTGTACAATGGCAGGTGAGGAGGGGTTTCCCATGTTACTTTAATATGAACTTGTATTATCTGAACTTTTTTTACATTCACCCACCATTTCATTTTATTTATTTATTTGTGGTACGAAGACTAAACCCAGGTGCTCTACCACCAAGCTACATACCCAGCCTTATTTTCTATTGAGACAGGGTCTGGCTTAAGTTGCCCCAGCTGGCCTTGAACGTGTGATCCTCCAGTCTCTGCCTCCAGGATAACTGAGGTTGACTTGCCTAGCTCATTTTATATTTTTTTAAAAAGTTGAAAAGGAAGCAACACTGGATCAGCTCTCCTTTCACAAATACACCCTCCTTGCTTCCCAAGTCTTGATTATACCCACCCATGCTGGATGGGAAGCACCATCAGGTAAGAGAAGCTTGGGGGCCCAGACCATCTGTGTGAGCATGTTATTGCCACCTGTTAAAGCTTCCTTCCCAGGTGGTGGGCATAGTACAAAGGATCAAGGAAAAACAGGGTTAGGGTAGATGAGGCCCCTGCAATCCACACCTCATGAGATCATTTCCACTTGGCTATTCAGTGAAAACAGTGAGCTGAAAACCACATGCAATAAACAAGGAGGGGCAGCCAACAAAATCTTAAAGTCTCAGAAAATGTTCAGTAAACATTTGCCAAGCAGGAAAATATCACAACGGAGTTAGTAGCTCCCCTTCTTCCCCTGATGTTACTTGGGTTTGGGGTGCAGTGTCTCATACAAATCATGTTTTAGGGCTGTAGCATTCAGTGCTAGAGTAGTGCTTACCTAGCACTTGTAAGGCCCTGGGTGAAATCCCCAGCAGCACCACAACCCCCCCCCCAAAAAAATAGTTTCATGTTTTAAAGGCAAGTGAATTCCAGCTCTCTGCACCCTTACCAACCCACCTCCCCCCACAAATGCTTCCAGTAGCTGTGTGCTGCTTCTTACCCCCACCCCACTGCATCCCCAGCTCCCTCCGTGGACAGCTCCTACCCTTGAAAAGCTTTTTCTAGCCTCAATCGTTTCTTGATCTTGGCTCCCGTCCCAGACCAGCTGCCCAGAGCCCTGGTTTCTCTGCTCACAGAAGCCACTTCACCAGCCAGCAAGTTCCCCACCAAAAGTGGCATCAAAGCCAACAGCTGGGAACTTGGTCATCCCCAGCTGTGTCTGGCCGACTTGGCGGCCAAAGGGGAAATTCAGGGCCTCCAGGGCTCTGAGCAGTGGATGAGGCCCTTATCCCAGCCCCAGCTACCAGCCAATGCCAGCCTGTCCACTAGACAGAAAAACACACGCTGGCTGCCTGCCCCGGGGTGTTTCCAGAAGAGAAATTTAATCTAATTTACATACTTCTAGGTACATCGATAACCAAAAGGTGGCCACTGAAAAAAGTTAAAAGGTCAATCTGCTCCCGGTATCTAGCTGGCCCAGGATTGCAAAATAAAAAGATCCACGTTCCTTCTTCTCTACACAAAACGCGTTTTTAAAAAAGTGAAAGATCTAGGGAGCTATACATAGAAAGCAACAGTGAAAAGGGGGAGGGAGGGAGGGATGGGGGGAGGAGAGTCCCATCCCCCCCCACCCTCCGGCCCTGGAGCCCCTGAGGCTCTGGGGGGCCTTGACATGGCAGGAGGCAGCTGTCAGCTCTGAGCTCTTCCCCAGCTAGGAAGGCCCCTCTGGGGGGCAACCAACAAGGATTTCCGTGGCATTGTGGGCTCAACGGGGGCTCCCAGGCCCAAGTGGGTCAACAGAGGGAGCGTAGTTTCCCCTGAGCAAGCACCGTGGCATGATGTGATCGTTTAACTCGGGAACTGGGGGGCTAGGGCAGATCCCGGGTCTCACGAGGTGCGTGTGTGCGTGTATGTTTGCATGTGCGTGTGTGAGAGGATATTCATGGGGACAAAAGGGGACCAGAACGGGAGTCTTTGGGGTCTCTGCAAATGGCCATGGATGGCAGAAATAGCCCTGTCTGGCTGCTAGACATGGGGTAATGCTGTCCTCCCCTGTGAACAGATCAGCTGCCACCAGGGACTGGCTGCTACCCCTGTGGAAGACACCCTTGTGGCCCCAGAGTCCTCAGGCTGGGGGAAGGGTGGCTAGCTGGCTCCCGGCGCCCATCTGTAGTGTGCCCGGCCCCCGAGGGGCACCGGTTTGAGGTTTTGGCTTGCTCCTTTGGAAACGGAAAAGAAAGGAAGAGAGGGAAGAGGACATAGAGGAGAAACAGTAGACAGAGGTGGCACAAGAGGAAATCTGGAATGCTTTTGTTAGGGTGCCTCTGCCGCTGCTGTCTGTGCCTGTGGGGCTTGGGGCTCCTCAGGTGCAGGGTCTGCTTTGGAGAAATTCATCTCCAGGATGTGCCGCTGTAAGTGTCGTACCCACTCTTCCTGGATGGAGAGGGGGCCCTGGAATTCCACTTCACAGAACCTGTGTGGGAGAACAGGAAGAGGGAGAGGCTGCTGCCATGAGGACAGAACACATCCCTGACACACCTGCTAAACAGATCAAATTCAAGATTTGAGGGAAGAGGGGTCCAGAAGCCATGTGTCTCTCTGTGGACGGTCACCTCGATTCATTATGGGGCTCTGGCAGGGTCCCCTGGAGATGAAGTCGCTGGTGCTGGGAAAGAGACCTCCTGCTTCCCAAGTACCTCTACCATCTGTCTAATGCATATGATCTGAGATGGTAGAAGGTACAGAGAAGCAGAGTCTACCCAACTCACCAGGCCCCTCTTCCTCTTGTCAAGCCAGCATCAACAAGGCCTCATAGCATAGGGTCCCAAAGACTTGGATTTAAATCCTACTCTCACTTTGCCTTTATGGCCTGAGTTGAGTCACCTCATCTCAAGACTCCCTGTTTCCTGGACTTTGGTAAGAATTAACTAAGACCTATTTTTTTCTTAATCAGACACATATTTGTTGAGGGCTTACCATGTGCCAAGCACAGTTCTCAGTGCTTTATGACTATGAAACTTGGTCCTCATAAAAAAATCTTTCAAGCAGCTCTTTTTTTTTTTTTTTTTAAGAGAGAGAGAGAGAATTTTAATATTTATTTTTTTAGTTTTCGGCGGACACAACATCTTCGTTTGTATGTGGTGCTGAGGATTGAACCCGGGCCGCACGCATGCCAGGCGAGCGCGCCACCGCTTGAGCCACATCCCCAGCCCTCAAGCAGGTCTTAAGGATGGGAAAATTGAGACATTGGGGAGGTAAGTCACTAACCCGGGTCTCACTGACTACAAAGCTTGGGGTGTCAGCCTGATGCTCTGAGATGCCAATGTCTGAGGAACCCTGGGCCCCACTGCACCTAAGGATAGTACCTCCTACAGCTATATCTGCCACCCCTACTGGACCCCATCCTGTTCTGAGCCTGGTGGCCGAGGCCCAGGTGGGCGTTCTCCCTCACTCCCCCAGGGGCAGCATACCTGCACTTGAGGGTGTAGATGTTGCCTACAAACTTGACAAGTGATGTTTGAGGGGGTCGGGGCACCAAGGATGGGACTGGCCGCACCCGGGGTGGAGGTTGCCGCACCTCTTCCAGCTTCTGATGCAAGTCATTGGCCTCCTCACTCCCCCGGACCCCAGTGGAATCTGGGGGGCGGGCTTGCCGACGTTCAAATTCTAAGGTAGGGAGAGAGATGGGAGATAAGCAGAAGGGCCAGGGCCCTGAAGACACCCTGCTTCAGCAAGTAAGGGGCAGACACTCTGGGGACTCATACAGCTGGTGACCAGCTGCCGCCTGGGTAGTGGAAGCTGAATGGAGAAGCAAGCATCTGAGGGAGTGAATGTAGGGCAGAACCCAGTGAGTAGGGCCCAGCAGGCACCCACCTCCCTCATGACCCACCTCCACATGCACTCACTGTTGATGTTCTGCCGCTGATGTTCCTCAGCCTTCACAGTGCCTGGTGGGCTGGCTGCCAGAGGCCGCTCACCGCTGTCGGCTGCCCGGCCAGCCTCAGGCCCTGGCTCCCCCCCAGCACTGCGGCCAACCAAGGCCAGGCCCCCAGGTGCCAGCCCCAGGGGCGGTCGCTTGTCATTGTCACGGCCATGGCCAGCACTTCGGAACTTCTTGGTAAAAGGGCGGCCGCCTTGGATGTAACTGCGGTAGGCGCCCACCTTCTGGGGCCGATGCTTGATCCACTCGCTCAGCGTCTCGATGGGCGAGCCGTTGACACACCACTCTGTCACACCAAACTGCCGCAGGTGTGCCCGTGCATGGCTGGCCAGGGCTTTGCGATTTTCAAAGTAAAGGCCACAGAGCTCGCAGCAGGCCTCGGTGGCTGCAGGCAGAGGGGGTACTGCTGAGCCATGGCCCGAAGGGGGCAGGAATACCCAGAGGGCCTTGCTCAGGCCAGGAGCCAATCCCACCTCCCACAGGGGCCCTATTTGGGGGTCAGTGCGGGTTTATGCGGCATAGCCCGGCCTTGCAGGCCCTGGCAAATGCCCTCCCAGGACCCTGCCACCCACTGCTTACAAGAGTGGGAGGTCTTCTCATGGAGGGTCTTTGCCTTGAAGGGCAGTTCAGTCTGGATGTAGGTCTTGGCCTTGACCTCTGCGGGGAGGAGTCGGTCCTCCTGCAGGGGCCGCTTGGCTGCCACTGAGCTCAGGTAGCCAGTGGCTGAGGGTTTGGCCCCAGTGATGGGTGTCAGGCTGAGCTCCCGGGGAACCTGGGCTGGCCCAGCTCCTGGTTTGCCTGGCCGGCCAGCCAGGGGCGACAATGGCAGTGGGGACTGCACAGGCCCAGGGGCCACTGTGGGGGACCCATCCTCAGCCAAGGCAGGAGCCAGGTCTCCAGCTGGCGGCTCCTTCTTGATGAGGCACGGCTTGGCCTTCTTCTTCAGGATCTCCCGCAGCGTGTCGATGGGCGAGCCGTTGACAGACCACTCGGTCACACCCATCTGCCGTAGATGGGAGCGTGCATGGCTCGACAGGCCCTTGCGGTTCTCGAAGAACTCACCGCAGAACTCGCAGCGGATGTCGCGCACCGGCTCTGCCCGGGACGCTGCAGGGGGTCCAAGGTTGGGGTGGGGGGAGAAGGAGGCAGCGGCTGCGGGCAGGAAGCCTCCAAGCTCAAGGCCCATGTTAGTGCCAGCTGCCTAGCTGCCCCTGTCCCCACCCCACCTCCAGACTCCAGTGACTTGCTCCCTCATTTGGGCCTTCATAGGTCCTTGTGTACATCGAGCCCTTCTGCTTGTTCTGTCACCTCAAATTCTAGCTGGATTCACAATGGTTCCCTGTGTGATGCTGGGCAAGTCACCCCCCCTCTCTGAGCCTTGGTTTCCTCCTCTGCAAGATGGAGATGAAAAATCTTCACTTCCCAGTATTACTGGGAGAATCTAAAATGAGAATGGTTCAAAGCACGTGGCACAGAGTTGGCATACAAGCTATAAGGCAGACCTTAGGCCATCCTCACCTGCTTGGCATACAGCAGGCAGTCAATCAACCTAAGCAGAATAAACATAGCGATGGTCTGAGAGGGAAACAAGTGACAGTGACATGATGACAACTACTATGCACAGAGCTTTCTGTAACCAGGCACTGTGCTAAGTGCTTCATCTTTGAGACAACCACAAATGTGGGACTATGTTGATCTCCATCTTCCAAATGAGGAAACTTGCCCAAGGTTGGATATTATCAGATTATGGAGGAGAAGATTTCTTGACTCAAATTTGACTCCAAACGTCAAGCAATCAATTACCAGGAACATCAGAAAGACAGTTCAGACATCTACTGCCAGTCCCTCTACTCCTGCCATGGTAGATATCACTAATTGACCTCCCCAGGAATCTGGATGGCAGCCACTACCAACTGATTGAAGATGGCACAAAAGATAAAATATTTTTGCCATCACATATGACACAGTTCTACCTCCCCTGTATGAATAAAGGAGAATCAAGCAGCAGCTCTGTTGCCCAGATCTGCACAGGGGGAATGTACAACTGGCTTCACATGTATCCTCCCTTCTAATTCAACCCTGGGTGCTACAGATACCTGCAAGGGGAGGCAGGGAAGAAACCCGACCATTCCTTTTCCCTACCCTGCCATAGGTTCACACTTACACAGGTTCAAGGGTGTCATGTCTTCCCTCGGCGCCCCCCAGGGACCCTCAGATGGGTGCGGCTCCCCATGAAGGGCCCCTGGCAGCATCTCCCGCTTGATCTCCACCCGCATTTGTTCAGGCTTCAGCTTCTTAGGCAGGGAGGTTGCTGTCAGGCCTGGGAACATCTTCCGGGCCGTGGGAGGAGGAGAGGCAGCTGGTGAGTGGCCCAAGGGGCTGCCTGGTGGTGGTGGCAACTTCTTAGCCAGAGGTGAGATGTGAAGGTCCGAAGGGTTGCGGGCTTCTAATGAGCTGCCAGGGCCTCCGGTGCCCACCACCTTTGCCAGGGATTTTGGGCTAGGCCCTGGTGGGTGGGGGGGTCCACCTGGCCGAGACTGGGTCCGTCTCTTCAGGATCTCCCTCAGTGTGTCGATGGGCGAACCATTGACGTACCACTCAGTCACGCCCATCTGCCGCAGGTGGGAACGTGCATGGCTCGACAGACCCTTGCGGTTCTCGAAGAACTCACCACAGAACTCACAGCGGATGTCTCGAGCTGGTTCTGGGCCGGAGGCTGCAGCAGGAGAGAGGAGCAGTTAGAATTTATTATTACAATGGTCATCTGCAGTAGTGTCCTGGTCAGCTGGGTGTGGGCAGCAGCATGCCCACAGGCTAGGGTGGTGATGGTGGGCAGGTGCAAGTAAGGGAAATAAGGATTAGGGCAGGGGGGACAGACACCCAGTTGGAACAAGGGGAAGACTCCAGAGAGCAAATGGGCCCCCAGTCCTGACAGAGGACAGAACCAAGATTCCATAGCTCTGAGGAACCCAAAACTGATGGGGAAGGAAGCGGCAACCTAGGCACCACATGCCACCCAGTCTGGGGAGGCAGATGTGAGCACCTTTCACATCAAAAGGCGGGACCCTCCCCTTGGCCTTCATTCTCAGGGAGGGTCATGGTCATGGAGGTCAAAGGCCAAGAGAGAGGGCCGAATAGCCCACTGCCAAAAAGATCCCTGGGCAGAGCCGGACCATTGCCAAGGGCCCCTGTCTACTCCCTGCCTCAACGGGGAGAGAGTAGGGAGGGGGCCGTGACCCCCCTCCCCCGGGAGGGGCTCCAGGGCCCGCAGGGAGGAGAGGGCGGCTGAAGCAAGAACCTACAGAGGTTGAGAGGAGATGGCTCCACATCAGAGGCCCAGAAAATGCCGGCGGCTGCGGCGGCCGAGAGGTCCTGCTTCCCCCAGGGGCTGGCCGTACCCGCGGCCTTCAGCTTGGCCTTCTTGGCCGGCGGTGGGGGGGGGAGCAAGGAGAGGGCCGCAGAGGCGGGAGGAGGCCGCCCCAGCTGGGCCAGGGCTCCGCGCCCGGGTGGGAGGCGGATCTGGACGCCGTCCCTCCTGATGAGCCCGTGGAGCACGTCTATGGGGGATCCCTTGGCGTCCGGGTCGCTGACGCCCAGGTGGCGCAGGTGGGCACGGGCGTGGCTGGACAGGCCCTTGCGGGTCTCAAACCAGGCACCACACAGCTGGCAGTCCAGCTCTCTGCCCCCGTCACTATCTAAAGCTGCGGAGACAAAACACAGGGGGGGTTCACGGCCGCCACCTTGGCCGGCCCTGGGGGAAGGAGACAGGAGGGTCTGGTGTGATTCTCAGCTGCCCAGGCAGTTCAGGGTCCAAGTCTCATGGTGCAGACTTATTTTGAGAAGCTTTGGACAGCAGAACATCCTGTTCCTTGTCTAGTTCTTTGGCATCAAGGTGAAGGTAGAGAGCTTAAGGAAGTGGGGTGGACAGTGACCAAATTCCTGCGGCAAAGTCTGACGCTCCTGGGCCCTCTTCCCTGGGACCCTTGCTATGACAGCTGTGGGGGCAGACAGCAGGGGCCCGGATGGGTTGCTAAGCATCATACAGCCAAGGGCATGGTTGCCAAGAACCCTGTTCCTGAAGACACAGCACTTCCAGTAGAGTAATTTCAAGGGAACATGAGGTGCCAACTTGGTGGGTGGGAGGTAGTGGTGGTGATGACTAGACTCTGGGGTCATCCCCAGACTCTAATGCTCACAAATACATGGGAAAGCCTGATGTTCTACAGTACATCTCACAAAACCTGCTCATTGCATTTGGAGGGTTTCTTCCCAAATCCTACTTTCCAGGCCCATAGGCAGCCCAGCTGGAGGAACTCCACCCTCAGGCACAAATAGAGAAACCTATACAAAGAATGACCAGGAAGATGTAAAGACAGGGCCAACTACAGGGACCTCCTGTCAGATGGACTACCCGTTTACCTACAGGACCTCAAATGCCCTGAAATCCCACTGAGGAATCCAGGCCCACAGGAGCCCTATTTACTTACACTACCCCATCCTTAGCCCAGCAAAGAATAAAGAGCTGCCACAAAGTGGTAAGGATGACGCTGGCAGGCTCAGCAGTTGTTGCCAAGCCTCCAGGGGAAGATCAGCAAAGTTGGAGAGAGATGATCATATGCAGGGTGGTCCAACAGGAGACACAGTGAGTGCCTCAACCAACAAGCTTCCTTGGCTAACCCAGGATGTGGGAGCTGCAGTCCCCACTCTCCCCACCCTGAACCATCCTGATCTGAGGCCCAACTGACATCCCAGTCCCTCCCAACACTGGGGCCTCCCTCAGCTCCCAGGACCCACACTCACTGAGATTCAGGGGCCCCTCGTCCTCAGACTGGGGCCACTGTGCCTTTGGGGAGGTCGGCCGGGGGCTCAGGGACAGCTGGGGGCTCTTGTCCTCAGGATTCTTGGGGGTAGGGGAACCCGTCAGGGCCAGCGGTGCCTTCTTGAGGAGCGGAGAGCTGGGTGTGTGGGCCAGGCCTTTGGTCGAGAAGCCAGGAGGAGACTTGATGGCTTTGTTGACAGCAGGGGCATCCAAGGGCTTGGCCAGGGCAAGGAGACCTGGCCGGGTAGCCCCAGAGACCAATTCTTTCGGCGAGTTGGACTTCTTAGTTAGGCCTGGGGGCAGCCCAAGGGGAGCATCAGGCAGGCCCTTCTGCTTCACCAGCTCGTAGAGGAGGTCGATGGGGGCACCACTGCTCTCCGACTCTGCTACACCCAGCTGTCGCAGGTGGGAACGTGCGTGGCTGGACAGGCCCTTGCGGGTCTCAAAGCAGGCGCCGCAGACCTCACAGGTGGTCAGGCTCTGGGCTAGAGGGTGAAATGGAGGTCAGGAGAACAAACTGTGAAGCCTGTGGGCTCAGCTTGTCCTTTCTCCTCCCACTTCACACCCAGTTTCTGTGTAAATGTTTTACTTTTGTCAAGGCCCCTTGAGCCTCACAATGATTCTAATGAGGTGGGGATTAGCCAGTCTGGTTTGCAAGTAAGGAAACTGAGGCTCAGAGAGGGGAAGAGTTGTGCCCAAGGGCACACAGCAGCAGATAGAGCCCTTCTGTGGTCCAGCCAATGCAGACACTTTTCTGATCTCCTATTCATAAGGATGCCCTGGCAACAGGTTCACACAAACAATGACTTACCAGACACATGCTTCACACTGAGCTAAGTCCTAACTGCTCTCTACAGCTCAACCCATGCCCCAAACACTAGGCTAGAGGCCTCAGCCAGGGTCTCTGTGGTTCCCTTGCACCTGCTTCTATAAAAGGACATTTTTCCCCTGCCCACTTGCTTTTTTGCTTTTCCACCCCCAACTTTAATGATCTAAAGTCAAGGGCCAGGTCCATTTTGTTCCTGTCACATCCCTGGGAACTAGCACAGTACACGTCAAGACTCATAACCACCTTAGAGTCAACAGAATGAATCAGTGTCACCTGGAAGATCGTATTGCTAACAAGGGATGGTTGGCAAACGACCTGGCTTTGAGTGTGAGCTCTTGACTGCCATGACCGCTGCTTCTCTGGATGCCCTTCTCTTGCCTAGTGTGAAGCTGGATGCTGGGCATGGCCAGGACTGCATAAGCTCAAGGGTAAAAACAGCTAAGTGTCTCCTTGGCACCTTAAGATGTACTAGAGAAAGCCACGACCAACCTGGGAACCCATATTAACCCCCACGCCTGAGAGCTCCCCTGTAAACCAGGAACCTGGACCAGCCATAATCCCTGCCCTGTCACCTGGGCCACTCACCCTTGAGGTCCGGCAGCTCCTGTTTGCTGCCATGAGGAACCTCGGCGGCCACTTTGCTGCTCAGTCGACTAGCCACCTGCTCCAAGGCCCCAGGGACAGGAAGGCTCTTCTTAGGAAGCAGGGGAGAACCCAAGTCCATGGCCACCATTGTGTTTTCCTCAGAACCCAGGCCTGTGGGGTGGAGGAGATGGGCTCAGCCCAGGCAAGGGTCAGGCTGTCTACTCCCAGAAGGATGAAGAATGTGGCACTTCTTCATTCTCGGTGCCTGCTCTCACTCTAAGAAGCAGCTCACCCATGAAAGCTGAAATTCAACCCATAACTCCCAACACCAGCACAATGCAGGTACACAGGAAAGAGGAGCAGCAGCTTCCACCCACCAGAACATGGGAAGGTCAGGGTACACAGTGCAAGTCCTGTGTACAAGTCTGAGCTCAGATTCCCATCCTGGAGAACCTTAGAGAAAACATCTCTCTGGGCAGAACTTACAGAGAAGGTAGAGGTGGGTACAGTCAGAAGGGGAATCTGACAAAAGAAGACCAGGGTAAGGAGGCCAGAGAGGCAATGCAAAGGCAAGGAACCAAGGACAGGGACTTGAGACTTAATGAGGAATCTCTGCTGGCAAGACAGCTTAGGCTGGGCCTTCAGAGACAATGTGGGGAAGGGGAGGTCTGCCCATTACTAGCTGAAACGTGAATGAAAAATGGCAAGAACTGGGAACCTGGACAAGCCCAGAAGGATCCGACTGGTAAAAAGAACAGTGACAATCACTGAATTTTGTGTGAAGTTTCTGAGTATCAGGCCAGGAAGATTCCCCAAGTAAGAGGTGCATGAGGGGGACTCAAGGGTGGGTGTTCATGGTCTAATTTTTCACAGAAAGGAGCCTGGGAGGTCTGTTGAGCTGCAAGCTGAGAGTTCAGAGCATGACAAGAGCTCTGTAGGATGGGAACTGTGTCTTGGATGGCCTCGGAGGCGCTCAGTGGGAGGCAATGGGGCAGGAGTCCAGGCAGGTCCCCTGATCAGTTTGAGTCCTACAGAGGCAAGGAGAAGGCAGACAGGGAGGCCGTCGGCAACGGGGACACCGAGGGCTTTGTCAAAGTCTCCGCGTGCGGGGGGGGGGGGGGGGGGGGGGGGGGGGGGGGGGGGGGGGGCGCGTCTGTCAGATGGGACAGGGCCAAAGTGGGTTTCCGCACCAACGAAACCGGAACCGTGACAAGGGACGATCCTGGGACTCCAAAAGAGGCAGGGGGCATTTGTCAGGCGGGATGAGGATCCCAAGGGCCAGTGGCAGTGTTTCTGAGGCCCGGGACCCCGCGAGCAGCGACAGGAGGCCCGAGACCTGCGCGACTAGAGGGCCTGGGGGGAGGGGGCGTCCCGGAGACTGGACGGCGGGCGTTGAGGGCGGCAGCGGCGGGCGGGACGCCGACTTTCCCCACCCAGCACCCTCCCCGGTGCCGGCTCTTACCCGGCGGGGGCGCGGGCCCGGGCCCCGGCTCCGGCTCGGCCTTGGGCCCGTCCCGCGGCGGCGGCGGCGGCAGCGGGGGTGGGGGCGGCGGCGGCGGCGGCGCCGGCAGGGTCACGGGGCCCGGGCTCGGGGGGCAGGGCGGGGGCGCCCCCGTGGGCGCGCGCTCCCGGGCGGCCCCCGCGCGCGGCCCCGCCGCCGCTTTGCTCTCCGCTTTTGTCACTCGGCACTGGGCGGTGGAGGCGGCCATCTTGGCTCCGGCGCACGCGGGGCGGCCGCCCCAGGCGAAAGCAGCCGAGCGCCGAGCGCCACCGCCACCGAGCGCGCTCCGCCCCGCCCCTCGGGGTACGTCCAGGATGGCCTGCCGAGCGCCTAGCGCCACGAGTGAAGCGTTAGTCTGGGCCCTGTGGACTCAAGGCAGCAGGCGCTGGGAGTTCTCCGCGGGCCCAGGCTCACCCATGCAGCCAGGACGCGCGCCGAGCGGCTTCCAACTGCCGCCCCATCCCGGGCTCCGGATTTCCCCGGCTAGGATTGGAATCCTCCTGCCACAGGCATCTACCTCAATATTATCAAGACTTTAGAGACCCGAGGGGGCTTGGGGGGTGGAGCTAGGACCTGCCCCGGGATCCTAACCCATTCTCTTTCCTGCAAGTCTCCCTCTTTGGGTCGACGATTCTGGAAGACACCCGATCCCCAACCACGAGGATTCCCCCCAACATCATCCTGGTATCCAGCTGTCTTCCGACTGTGCTGTCCTGCAGTCCTAGGGAACGCTCAGACATCTAACATTTCAAGCTCCACCGGCTCCTCCCTCCTCAACTCCAAACCGAGGGCGCCCAGCTGTTCCTTGACAGCTGGGTGGGGCCAGAATCAGGCCGTTGCCCCGCCCCCAACTTGGCACCCGCCAGCTCCGGCCCACTTGGGGAGAGGGGAGGAGACTTCTAAGAACAGCCCTGCAGGGCCACTGCCCACACCTAGCTGTGATCTCGGGAATTCGTACTAAAAGATAAATAGCTTCTAGGACCGTCCCAACTGCTCCTTTTCCTTGCGCCCCCCCACCCCAGATGTTCACTGAATAAATCATAGCTCTCTTTCCTCCCTCTGGACAAGGCCAGGGCAATGCCAAATTCACTTCCTCCCATCCATTGGCTGACGCCTCACACCCCAGTGGCTTGGTCAGCTCCCTTGGCAGGCGCGGAGGGCTGACACATTGGTATTCTGGTTAGAAACAACTTGGCCAGAGGTGAAACTGGCTGCGGAGCACATACTCCCATCCTGTTCCAAGTGCCAGATAAGAAAGTATGAGCCTGACATCCAGGTCTCTGCTAGGATGATACAGAAGAAAGGGAGGCAGGGCTGGAATCTACCATCTCCTGCAGCCATCCTCAGAGCTAGCTATGCCTCCCAACCACTACTGAGGCACTACAAACCAAATGGAGTAAGCTGAACACTAACCAAGACAAGAAGTCTGAGATCACATCCCCACTCTCTCTCTCCTAGAGATATGATCTCAACTAGGCACTTGCCTCAATTTCTTCCTTGTTCAAGGAAGAGAAGAGTCTTTGATATCCCTACCCTACCCTTTGCAAACTCCAAAGTGCACTTCAGTGGACTTGCAGGTGGGATGAGTCCAGTCAAGCCTAGAAAACAGATCTGGGTAGAACCCTGAAACTGCAAGTAAGGAAAACAGAAGCCCCAGCCCAAACACAACTGGGCCAATTTCCCTTGCTCAGATATCTTTCATTTCTCGGGGCCCAACTGCTCCACATAGACAAGTTCTCTGCTTTATAAAAGTTGCTGCAAAGTCAGCTTTTGCAAGGCTGAGATCTTCACTTCTCCACTTCCTCTACCATATCCCTGGCCCCCTGTGTCAAATATAGATTCTAGATTTTGAGTGTGGGAGGGATTTACCAGTGCTGACTTTGGTTGAGCATCTGCAATCTGGACTTGTAGATCTGCCCTGTCCAGTAGAATTGCCACTTATTCAATACTAGCCATATCTCAAATGCTCAGCTGCCACATGTGGCCAGGGGTGACTCTCCAGAACAGCACAGATAACTAAAGAACACTTTCATCATCTCAGAAAGTTCTATTGGGCAGCACTGCTCAAGATAGAAGATTCATTCATCAAGAACAAGAAACCTGGAGCCCAACTGCTTGAACTTCAAAACTTGGCTCCTTCTGGCTCTGTAACTTCAGAAAGGTTAATTAGGCTTTCTGTGCCTCAGTTTCCTCATCTGTAAAATGTGGATGGTCATAACATCCCACCCTAATAGGGTTGTTATAAGGATCTCAATGAGTTTGTGACTGTAAAGTGTTTAGTACAATGTCTGATTCCTCCTAAGACTTCAATAACCATTTGCACGGAAATTAGATTCAGAAAGGGCACTGGCCCAGCCCCTGAGCAAAACAGAAATGACCCCTAAATAGCAGGAAGGTGGTGAGAAGAGTTGTCAATATACTTTGTAAAATGACTCAAAATGCTTCCAAAAAAGTAGTGGCTGCCCCCACCCCCATCCACTCCATCCCTCGGAGCTCCTGGAAAGGGTCAGGGCTCCAGCCTGGCCCGCCCCCTCCCCTTACCATCTCCGTAGGCTGGCCCAGGGTCCTCAGCCCAGGTGGGTGGGAAGGGCACGGTAAGAGGTAAGCGAGGCCGACGGGAGGTCAGGAAGCTGCCAGGTGGCCCGCCAGGCTCTCGGCCCAGGGGACTGGGGGGCAACTCAGCAGCCGAGGTGGCCAGCAGCTCCTGGAGGATGTTGATGGGCGAGACGGTGAGCTCCCAGTTGGTGATGCCAAAGTCACGCAGGTGCGCCCGGGCATGGCTGGAGAGACCGGCCCGAGTATCAAACCCAGCCCCACAGAAGTCACAGCGCATTAAGCTGAAGGTGCCAGGATCAAAGTTGGCCACTGCAAAGAGAAGACGTAGACTGTCTATGATGGGGCAGGGATAGGGGTAGCCGCTTTCTAGGCCCAACCCCTTCTGTTTCCCCAGGGTTCTCACCCTCTGGACCACACTGGACGGCCTTCTTTCCCTTTGCCACTGCATTCCTGCCTGCCTCACAGCATTCAGCTCCTGCATCCCAACCCCAGACACACTCTAGAAGGCTGATCTCTCAAGTTCTAGAAGGCTGAACTCCCCCCAGGGATCCTGTCATTCTCCAGTTGTGGATTCACAATCAGTTGGGTGAATACTCAGTGCATGACCTTCTTGTGTCTATTTTTGATCACCACTGCCCAGTACTGTAGATTAAATACATACCGTATAAAGAAACGGCAAACAGAGGATGTGCTGCCCCCTCCTCTGGGAGCCTTCTCTGAGCCCCGCCCCCAGGTGGAGTCAGAGATTTCCTTGCATGGCTTCCCCAGCCTCCAGGTTCTCCCAGCCTTCATTGCTTGACATCATAACTGCCTGGTTTCCTCCCTGTCTACCCCACACCCCCCAGCTTAGTGTATACAAACACACTCTCTCACACTCAAACGCACCACACCAGCATCTCCCCAAGTGGACTCTGTGACTGCCAATGTCAGAACCACCCAGGGCACTCCTGTGGGAGATAGACCTTCAGAATCAGAACCTTGTCACCTGAGAATCTGCATACCTCACAGGCAGCCCCAAGTTGTGAAGTCCACCAAGGGTCCCCTCGCTCTTGACTTGGGCCATGAATTCCAGGAGAGCAAGGTCTCCTGTTTTGTTTACTTCTGTGTCCCTCGGCCCCTGTGCCCAGAACAGAGGGGACCTCACTCAATAAATATTTGTTGAATGAAGAAATTAAATGGAATTATTTGCCTGGGGCCAATTCCTCTGCCCAGGCTCCTTCCTCCACTGCAGGCATGGCCAAGACATTGGGGCATCCACCAACCACACATCCACCAACCTTTGGTGGTGACCTTTGCTGTGGCTCCCAGGTCTCACAGGAAGGAAGACCCCAATTGCACCCTGCATGGCACTAAGGGAGGATTTAGAGTGAGGGTGGGTGGGTGTAGAACTCAGCTTCCCAGCCTCCTGGCGCCCAGGCTGTGGAGGGAGGTGGGTGCCAAAGCAAAGCCACTCTACCTTTTTTCTTCTTCTTCTGGAAGGAAAACCTGCGCTCAATGGCCTTCACCTCCTCAGCAGAGATGAAGTGCCGCACATTGTAGCTGACGCCCACGCGGTTCAGGTGGCCACGGACGTGGTTGGCCAAGCCGATGCCATTGTGGAAGCGATCAGGGCAGTAGGGGCATTTCCGCTCCTCGTGCTTCAGGGCCATGGCTGGGTCTCCCTCCAGGAGTGTGTCTAGCCCGAGGGGACCACCCAGCGGAGCATCCAGGAGCAGGAAATCCAGGGGGTGGGTGCCCTGCAGCCCCAACTCCTCTGGTGGCAGTGTGGGGGGTACCCTAGCTGCTGCCGCCATGACCTGGGGCCCTAGCTTCGCCATCAGAACAATGGGCACCATCCCTCGGAGCTGCTGCTGTTGTGCCCTGGAGCCCTCGGCTGCCTGTAGGGCATCTCGGAAAGTCCGCTTCAGCTCTAGGGCTGGCTGGGGGATGAGGCTGGGGACAGATGGAGGTGGAAAGACTTCATTTCCCAGAGAAAAGTCCATTTCAGAAGTCAGTGCTACATCTTCATCCTCCTCTTCCTCCTCCTCTTCACTCCAAGGGTGGCTACGGTCCCCCAGCTCCGGCAGGTGGACAGTGCTTTTGTTTCTACTGAGCTGTATGGAGTAGGGGGCAGATGCCAGGGGTGAGGGAAAGGCCAGCCTTCCAAGAGGTCTCTGGCCTGAGTCGTGCGGGATTGGCTTTGACAGTGAGAAATTCCTCATGCCCAGCTGCTGGCAATCTGGGCCATAGGCCAGGTCGGGGTCATATCCAACAGGGTTCTCCCGCCACGCGGGGGCCAAGAGCGGCTCAGCTTTGCCAAAGTAGTCCATGGTGCTGTCAGAGAAGCGGGTGTATGCATCCTGGCTTGTGCCTGGCTGGCTGGCTGGGTCCACCTCAAACGCCTCGCCATCCTCTTCCCAGTGGGAATGAGCATGCAGGAGCCTCACATGCTCCCTGAGCAGGCTCTCACTGGATGCAGGGAAGCCACAGAAGACACAGGCACTGAGGCCTGAAGCAGCTCCGTAAGTTGGATAGAGGAGAGTGCTGGCGTCGGGGCCTGGGCTTCCAACCCTGCTGCCACCACCAAAAGGCTCCTTGGTCGGCTGGCCCCGCACATGCAGCTTAGCATGCTGCACAAAGGCCCTGGAGGAATTGGTGCCAAAAACGCACTTGGGGCACTGGAGCCGTGCCTCACGGCCCTCGTCACCTGGAAATTGCTTCAGCTTCTGGATTTCCTCGATGATCTTCTCCCGGGAGGCCTGGTGCAGCTGCCGGTGTTGCTCGAGGGCAGCAGGGTCGGCAAAGGCCCAGCCGCACTCTCCACAGGCTAGGGGGGCCAAGTCAGCGGGGGGCTCCTGGCCCGGGGCTCGGCGGTGCTGGCTCATGTGTTCCAGAAGGTGTTCCTTGTGCTTGAAGTAGATACTGCACTCGATGCAGGGGAACACGGCTGGCTCCTCATCTTCATCCTCATCAGGGCTGCCCGTCCCCTCAGCCACCTCCTCCAGCAGCTCACACAGGTAAGGCCCTGTTCGGACTGCGGGCAGCAGTGGCTGCAGCCGCTCCACAGACGCTTCTGAGTTCACCGTCCAGGTCTGTGTAGCTACTTCGGAGGCCGATGTCGGCAGGCCCCACTCAGAAGGCTGGGCCAAGCCTTCAAGGTCCTCCAGGTCCTCTCTGGTGCCCACCATCTCCAGGTCCAACGTCTTGGAGGTATCTTCCACCGGCACAATCACCCTCCTGAAGGAGGCCAGGGGTGGTGGCTGAGGAGACAGGTCCAGGTGCAGCCTTGAGTCCCGTGGGGGCTCCTGCTCATCTGTGTCTTGGAGCCAGTCAAACCTGGGGTGACCCCGGGGGGCTTTTTCCAAAAGCTTCAGTTCTCCCTGGTGGTGCAAGAACCTTCTAGAGCCCTGGAGCTCAGCATGGGGTTTCAGGGTTCTCACAATGACTGAGTCCTCGAATCTCCGCTCAGATGGGATGCCCTCCCCGGCCTCCTGGACCAGGGGGTGCTCCCAGGGCCCCTGGCCATCTGGGGGACCAGGGAAAGGGCCCAGGAGATGGGGTGGTGAGGAGCCTGGCTGGAAGTCCAGGCTGCCTCCATCCCAGCAGCTGCAAGGAAGTGCCAAGGGGGACAGGTTAGCCATGGGCCTCAGTTTACCTTTCTAGGGTAGTGGTGGTAAGGAGTCCTCCCAGGCAGTTTGAGGCAGGCCCCAGATATCCAGCCCAAGGGTGACCTCAGAGAGTCTGGTAGCATTGGGGTGAGGGAAGGGAGGGACAGGGGAGTCCAGGCGAACCCTTCCAGAGCTGCTGGGTCAAAAGCCAGTTTTAACTCCCAGAATACACCTGTCCACATAGCCTGACCCTACTGCACCATAGGAGAGTGTCTGGGGGATGGAATTACTTCTAAGGAGTGTCCCCAAGTCTGGTGGCCCAGTCAACTCTCATCTATCCCAGGACGACTTAAGGCTCTGACCTGTGTATCAAGCTGCTTCTGTGTTGATTCTCTCCAAAATGGGGTGACTTGGTTAATTTAGTTAAACCTCTACCCTGAATTTGGTAAAAATTAACTTTGCAGCAGAAAGGTTGAAGGATGCACCTGCTCCCTGCATCTCCCCTCTTGGAAAGGCAGAGTCAGGAAAGCTTGATGGTCCCCACTTAGCCTCTGGCCCCAGTGACCTGACTCTCTCAAGTGGGAGGAAGACGGAGTCAGGAGAAGGTAAGGCAATTTCTCTGGGCCTCAGTTTCTAATCCTAAAAATTGGGATGATATCTAAGAGGGACCTCCTTGTCCCTGTACAATGTCTAAGAAGCCTTATCATGGGTGTCATCAATTAAAACATCACATGTGGCAGGGGCTTATTTAAATGCTTGCAACCACAACCTTTAAAACGGGGACCTTGACTCCATAAGACACAGGATGAAGGTGCACACAATTTGGTATTCAAGAAAACATTTTACTTCACTGGATATCTGGCTCCCAGTTAGCCAGTGACCAAGGCAAGTTCTTATTAAGATTGTTCCTGATCAAGTCTCCCTTCCTTATTAAAGTCCTGCCTCCATGAGGGGTATCAATCATGCACATGGAACAGATGAGGAAATGGGCTGCACAGACAGGGGAGCAGAGACAACGATGTCACCTCTCTGATGCTCACTGGCAACATGCCTCACTAACGGAACTATCCTTCCAGGGCTGTGGCAAAGATTCAGTGGGATAAACACATGCTGAGAGCCCCACCCTTAGCACTTATTATTAATTCTGAAAGCTAACGATTAATCATGATACCATCATTATCATATATTAGCACCTGCTAGTCTGTTTAATAAAGGGTGGCTGGACATGGGCACTGTGGTTGATTCTTCTTCTTACCCAGTGCTCCTTGGGTTCTTAAGGCGAATTTGTGAGATATATCTTATAAGCTTGATTTTGCAATTGAGGAAACTGAGGCTCAGAGAGGCCTAGCATCATTCTAAGGGTCAGCTGGCAGAAAGAGGACTTCAAGGGTCCAATCTCCAGACTCTTGCCTCTCTGGCTCTGCTCCTGGCAGGGATAATGAGAGTTGACCGTCTGTGTCACCCCAGACCTCTCCCCCGCCCTTAGCACATACCCAGGGGCTTGTCTATTGGGATCCACCTCCTGTGCCTGGCCTCCTGTTTCCCTCCTGACCCCTTCTACTCCCCAGGGACTTCTCTTAGGCCTGGGCACATCCTGCTTGCCCCCCTGCCCTCCCTGAGGTCAGGGCCAGCATGGCACTCACCAGCTGCTGATCCGATGGGTGGCGGAGGTGGCACAGGGGAGGGCTTCGCTGAGGCCAGGATGGGACTGCCCGTCTGCAACAGAGAGGGGAGACCCTGAGGGGCTGGGGTCCCCCTGGCCGGGGCTCCGTGCCCCAGCTCTGGGAGCCCTGCAGGTGCCTCAGAAGGGCCCTGCTGGCTCCCAACCACTCTTCCCAAGAGGCCGTTGGCCTCTGTACTGAGCTCTGAAAGGGGTTTCTCTGGAGGAGTCTTCTTCAGTCTTCTGGGGGATCCCAGGGCCTTGCTACTTTCCAAACCTCCTCTCTTTCCCCTGACCTGGCAGCCCGGGTGATTTCTTAAAGTCACACACTGGTAAAAACTCACCTGGCTTCTCATTATCCTTACAGTAAAAGCCAGATTCCCAACTGCCACCACAATGCCCTCAGAAGTCGGGTCTTTGTTGTTTTCTCCAACCTCACCTGCCCCTTGTTGGTCCCTCACTGCCCCTGCCCTGACTTCAGGACCCTCCTGTGAAGCCTCAAGGCCACCTAACTCTTCCCACCCTCAGGCCTTTGCTGTGCCCTCTGCCTGGCCAGCTACTCAAAAGTGACTCAGATTTTTTTTTCTCTCTCTTAGCATCTGCTTCATTTTTTTCTTAGCTGTCCCACAAGTTGCTTGGGTCCCTCTCAGGATGCTTGCTTGTGTGGGTCCCCTGCAAGCACATAAGCCCCACTAGAGCATGGACTGCGTCAGCCTTACCCACTACAGTATCCTAGTGCCTGGCGCACAGTGCTCAACAAATACATGCCAGATGATGAGTGATGAGCCTGGCCAGTCTGAGCTATGCCTTCTGGACCCTCTCCCAGGCTTAAATCCTAGAATGGAATTCCCTCCCGGGAATCCCCCGACACAGATAGGGCCAACTCTCCATTATCCACCTGTGGAGCCAACGCCTGGAGCGACCACAGGAATCCTGGCCTGTGTCTCCTCTGCCTGCCATGCTTGCCTGCCATGGGCAAGCGTGCCAACTGGGGAGCAGGCCAATTTCCTGGGCCAAGGTTAACACACTGGGGGAACTTGTGCCCTGGCCAGGGCTCGACAGATGCAATTGCTGGACTAGCCTCAATTTGAGGATGGTCCAGAAAGAGGGCAAGGGCTGGGAATAATTCTTTCTAATACCCACCATCCAATTTGCCCTGGAAATTAAGAGCTGACCTTTAGGAGTCGAGGAATAAAAACTGGAGGGGGGTGCCTTAGGTCGCTGCCTGGGGGTCTGGCTTCTGACCCTGAGAAAAGGGCTGTGACAGTGGCATCGCTTCTGAAGGGTGGGGTGGGGGTACTGAAATTTTCATATTCCAGAGCAGAGTTACTCAACCTTGGCACTGTTGAACATTTGGAGCCAGATCATTCTCCGGGTGAGGGCAATGCAGGAAGTTGAACAGCAGCTTTGGCCTCTGCCCACTAGATGCCACTACCTCCCTATCCCACAATCATGACAAACAAAAGTGTCTCCAGACATTACCAAGGTGTCCCCACGGTGGCCTTACTGCCCCTATTTGAAAACCACTAGTGTAGATGGGCAGGGAGCAGAGCCATGTTTGGAGTTAGGATTGGGGGTTGCAGAGCATGAGGGCTGGGAAGCAGGGTTTGGACCCCAGGACACAGGCTCCAAATGAACTCAAGTCACAGATGGAAGCTTCTTAGGAGAGGGTGACTGATTTGCAACTAACCAGTCCCAGTACAGCCTAGAGGTGTGGGTCTGAGGATCCTGGGTGTCCTGCTTCTAAGATTCTGAGACCCCAAGCTCTTGAGACTCTGGGTGTCCCAGATTTGGTAAGTCTGCTGTTGTCTAAGAACTCCAAGAGCCAGGGGGCCACACTGGCCTCTTTGTCTGAGCAGCTCCGGCGAGGCTCCTATTTTTAGTGGCAGCAACTTTGGAGGAAAGAGGCCAAGGAGGGCCCATGTCTGAGACTCGCTGGAGGTGGGGCTTTGCCCAGAGGCCTCCATACCAATGGGGATCCAGTAGTCCCTGTGGGTGGCAGGAGGTGCCTGGGATGCAACCCTCAAGGAGTGACCATGCGAAGGGGCCCTCATAGGCTCCTGCCATCTGGGATCCCAGAGAGGGCTTGCAAATGACAAAAGGAGGTATCCATGAACAACTTGAATCTCAGGCCAGGCAGCTTGGCTGAGTGGCCAAGAGCCAGACTTTGGAACCAGACAGATCCGAGTTCAAGGCTCAGTAGTATGACCTGAATGGCTTGCCTTTCCTGCTCCAAGGCTCCGTTTTTCTCCTCTGTACAATGGGTACGAGCACCAAATAAGTCTTGTAGGGACAGTGATGGGTGCCAATGAGACCATAGTAAAATGCTCCATCCAGAGAAATGGTGGTAGAAGGAAAGAAAGGAGGTAGGATTTCCGGGGGTTTGGGGATGTCTCTGTGACTTCTCAAGGTGAAAGCTGGAGGCTGAACTCAGAGCCTCAGGCCTGCTGACTCCACGCTCTGACTTCCTCTCCAGTTTGGGGCCTCAAGAGGGCACAAATGATGCGTCGTTTGTCCCTGGGTCCCCGGTGCCCAGTACAATGCCAGGCATGCACCAGGCTCTTTACTGATCCATGTGGAATGGTTCAGCCCCCTGAGACTTTGTCGTACCTGAGAGCCCCAACTTAGCGACATGTTGGATAGAGGCTCCAGGGCAGTTGTGGGGACTCCTGGCCAAAATCCACAGCAGAAGACAGAACAGGTAGTAGATACATCTTGTCCAGACAGAGAAGTTTGGAGGTGACCACTCCAGAGAGTCCTTGGAAGGGATCCAAGGGCTGAGTGAGGATGAGGGAGGGCCCAGACCTTGGGGTAGAACAGCATCCCCCAGAGACTTTTCTCATCTATAGGCATCACAAGACTCTCAGGGCAGGTGCAGGGGTTGAACAACAGAAGAAGGCAGGCGAGAGACAGAGAGTCCAAAGCCCAGGCCTTCCTCTAGCCTCCACACCACCAGTCCATCCCCACCCCGTTTGCCCATTTGTTCAGGAAAACTGATGAAGAGTGGACCTGACCTTCCTTGTCAGCCACAGTCCCCTCCTCTCCAGGCTGCAAAACAGGTGCATGCATAGACCCCTCTGGTTGATCCCCGGGGGGAGGGAGACACACATATTTACCTAACTTTTCCTTCTCTCCAGACCTGGAGTTTCTGCAGGTGGAGAAGAAATGCCCAATTCTTCACAACCTACAGGTCTGTTTCCTTGGGCTCCTACACAGTCAAGATCCCAGCCTTGCCCTGGCCAACTGTGTAAGCTTCGACAAGATCCTGCCACTCTCTGAGGTTTGAGGGGATTTCTAAGGTTCACTGGGTACTAACCAGCTAACCCTCAGCCCAAGTGAGTCTCACTTCACTATCACCCTGCTGCCTGACACCTGTAGGTGCCACCACATCTCCAAGTTTTGCATGTGTGGAGATCCCTGCCTGGATACCTCCCACCGGCTTCCCAGGCTGATCATCCCTCATCCTATTTCTTTCACTATCTGGCAGACTACTGGAGGCTCCAAGGCTGGGCTAGGTGCTTCCTCCACTCAGAGCCCCAGCAACTGGGCCACAACATGTGCACAGTGTGCATCCGTCTCCCCTGCTCCAGATGGTGGGGTCCATGGTCGCTGCTGTGTCCCAATACTAGGCCCACAAAGATGCCTCTGTAAATACCTGAGCAACATGAGTGGTGCTGATGGGCAGGACCCACAAGGATGCAGCACAGTGGAAAGGGATGAGGGCTGTTGAGCTATGTGACTGCTATTTTCTGTGACCTTAGGCAATGTATTTCACCACAAATTCTTGGTTTTCCCAATCCCTAACAGGGGATAATAGTCACCAAGGCTACCCCACAGGATTCTTTTAAGAATGAAGTGAAATGATCACAGAAAGGGTATGGTATGTTGGAAACCTCTGACAAGGTGTTTGGAAGTTCCTGAAAAACAGCCTTTGAGGACAGGCCAAGGAGATGAAGGGAGAAGTCTGATGTATCAACCCACTTTTCTCCAGCCACATCAGGCTCCAGCCTGGTCCTTGAAAAATGCCAGGCTCCTGCCCACCACAGGACCTTTACACTTGCTCTTCCCTCCATCTGGCATGCCTTTCCCACCATTCATCTCATGCTCCATCAAATGCCACCTTCTCAGGGAGGCTTTCCCAGGTCCCTTAGGCATGATACTGGAACTTTGTTTAATACCTTTACAGTCTGTGTCACTACCTGCACTTACAATATGTGTTTAGTTACTTGTCATCCATCTTCTCTTCTAGAATACCTTTGCCCAGAGGGCAGGAACTGTGGCCTCTTTTGTTAATAGCTGTTTTCCCAGCACCCAGAACAGAGCCTGGCACATAGTAGGTGCTCAGTATTTAATGCATTAATAACAAATCTTGAGATGGGGACAATGTGAGATACCCTTTTGCAGGGCAAACCAATGCACCAAGGGGTGGCAGGCATCCCCGACTCCCCAGTCTTTCCCTAGCCACTAGAGGGCACAAGCTGTTTTGGCCCATGGCTCTGGAGCAAGAATTCCCAAGACTGAAAAGAGAACCTGAGAAAGATTGATGGGAATGAGGTGCACCTGGGGAACAGGTATGCTTGAGGCAGGTTGCTCAGGGTGCCAAGATGGGCATCTGGGTCCAGGTAGTTCTGGCTCAGAGGTGGGAGCCAGGCCAACCTGAGTTTGAGTCCTAGCTCCTTGCCACCTAACGTGGGGGGTCTTGGTTTTCACAATTCTAAAATGGGAAACTAGAGTGCAAAGAGAAGGCTCTGGACTTCCAACTCAGACCCTGCTGTGCTATGTAACCTGGATCTCTCTGAACTTTGGGGACCAGGCTCAATGTTCCTTCAGGGCCACAGGGCCCACCTTCTTACCAGAAATGCCACCTCTGCCATCCAGAATGTCCCGGGGGCCTTCTTTGGTGATAGGCAGGTAACGGGTAGACCGGAAGATGCTACCTTCCCCTTCAGCAGCCTCGGCCCCACCCTCGATGTCCTCCCTTGGAGCTGGGCCAGGCAGTCTCTCTGGGCCTCGAGGACGATCTGGGGCGGCCAGGCCACCTGCCAGGGGCCCCTCCATGGGTGCTCTCTGCTTGACTCCTCTCAGTGCTGGATTGGCTCAGCGGGTCATTGTGGGTCTGGAGATAGAGAGGGAGGCAATGCTTAGCAGAGGTAAGAAAAGGACTTCTCAGTTTTTTCTCCCTCAAAACTCTAATCCTTACCCTTGCAGTTCATTCCCTTAGTTTACCTCCCAGTCCAAGTGGGCTAGATAAATGGTGCTGAGGTCCCATCCTTACATATTATATTCCAATGACCCCTTCTAGCAGCATGCCTCCATCTCCCACGAATAACCCCTTTATTTACCGAGATCCTTTACTGCCTCAGTTTACCCCATTTTTACACTGCACACCCAGCCACCTTATTTTCTCCATCATGAATCCTGTCACTTTTCTCAGATTCCTCTGTCCATTCACAGACAGCTTCACCTTAGCCAGTCCCACCCTGGCTTCTCTGCACGTGCACACCGTATGGCCATGCCTGTTTCCTCACATCCCAGCCACTTCCACATTCTGACCCTATACACTTACTTAAGTCTCCCCATCATTACCCTTTTACTTTTCTCACTTGGGTTGCCCATATCAATTACTCATGCACTTTTCCCACACTCCAACCCTCCCCCGAAAGACCTTAGGGCTCTCCAGCGTTAACCCCTTCACACCCACATACAGCCTCAAGTGACCCTACCAATTAACCCTTTTGCTTCTCACCAGCATGATCCCTCACGCATACCCAGCCTGGGTTCCTCCATTCCCCACCCTCCACCAAGAATGCTCTGGTCCGAGGCCAAAAGGGACCCCTGGGGCTTCTGGTCCAGAAACGAGGACCCCAGGGAAAGGGGGGCTGTCTCTCCACCTATAAATACCTTCAAGGTAACGGCAGAAAGTGAAGGGCAGGAATGAGGCGCCCTCCCCAGGGAGATGGTGGGGAGGCCGGGCCCAGGCAACCGGGGCGGGGCCGGGGCTCCAGGCCTGGTTGCAGGCGCTGACCTCAGGGGGCCTGGGGCTCCCAGGGGGCCTGTCGGTGGGCTGGCAGTCTTGGTGGGGGTTCCTGGTCAGGCCTGGAGGAAGCACCTGCAGGTGCCCACCGGGTGGGCACTGCCCGCGGGGAACAGGCTGGACCGCAACTTCGGAGCACTTTGGCAGCTTGGGGAGGGGGCTCCTGGCCAGACGCCCCCAGAGGGCCGCAGAGATGGGGGCTGCGCCGCGCTGGCGCACCCCTTGGGGGTCCTGAGTCCCGGGGATGCGCGCTTCGCCCGTGCACCCCGGGGCGGGAGACCCCGCGGGGCCGCCGAGGTAGGGGGAGACACCTGCCTGCCCCAAGACCCCCGTCCCTCCCCCCACCTGCACGGCCCCGCCCCCGCCCAGGCCCCGCCCCTGCAGGCCCCGCCCCGCCCCCCGCCCTGGGGGGTCCCGCCTGGCCCGGCCCGGCCCAGGCCTCCCCCTCCCCGCTCCGGCTCCGCCCCGCCCTCGGGCTCCCCAGGCCCGGTCGGGCCTCACCGAGGAGGCGGTGCCACCGGCCGGGTGCCGGGGCTCGGAGCTCCCCTCCTTGGTGCGGTCCTTCGCACCGCTACCGCTGCTGCCGCTCCCGGTGCCGGTGCCGCGGCCTCCGCAGCCGCCGCCGCCTCCACCGCTCGGGGGACATTGTCCCTTTAAATCGCTCCCCCCGCTGCCCCGCCCCCCCGGCGCGCAGCCGTGACCTCAGCGCGACAGCCCCGCCGCGCCGCCATGATGGGGAGGTCTGGGGAGCCCCCCCCACTACCCCCCCACCGCGCGCCGCCCGGCTGGGGGGCGGGGGGGGGCGACCAGCGGGCGAGCAGCCATGTTGGGAGTGTCCAAGCCGGTCACCCTTAAAGGGCCCGAGCGACCTGAGTGTCCAGGGAGAGGCTCTGTTGCCATGACAACCCCCTTGTCCTCGCCCCCCCCAATGGCTCCCATCACCCGGCTGGTTCTTCCAAAGCTAGGTTTGCTAATAGCACCAGAGGAGTGGGAAGAGGGCAGAGAAGTTCCTCCACGGGTCATTCATAGGTCATTGAGAACTCCACCCAATCCTTAGTTCCAGTCCCTTGTCCACTTCAGCTGTCTTCCAACCACAAACTCACTCCATCCTTCTCCATCGTTCACACTGGACTTAAGCATCTCCATGCCCCTAGAGCTGCCCTAGATCCCCATTGCTAAGGCCCCCTAATTCGCTGTCCCTCCAGGGCTAGCCTATTACAAGACTGCTATCTTCTCCTATCTACCGTTCATCTACCTTCCCATCCTTTCATCCACATGCCTAATCAGTCATCCACTCCTCTACCCATCCAATCAACTAATCACCTACTGTCCACCCCTCCAACCACCTATTCATCTATCCAAACACACACTCATCTATTCACAACCCATCTACATGCCCGTCCCTCCACCACTTAAGAAAATATCTATTTATCTGGAAAACCAAGTAAGCACCCAATCATCCTAATTCACATCCTTCCACTCTGCCACCCATTCATTCATCATTTTCATGTTTGTTTATCTTCTCCACATGAGGACAAGGGTCCTGTGTTCATTGTTTCCCCACAACCCAGCTCAGTTTCAGAAGATCTTAACAAATGTACACACAATATATATAATCACTTAATTAATTCAAATATTTATTTCCTACTATGAGCCAGGTCTTTTCTAAGTAGACATATCCATCCTGGTTACCTGCCTACCTAACTAGTCATCTATAGGTCAAACATCCAACAAATACTAACCTATTCACCTGCCTAATGTTCCACCCTACCCCTCACCCATGATTTAAAGGCCTACTAATTTACTCACCATTCACCCACAGAACTTCACATTTTCTTACCCTTCCTTCATCTGCCTCTCAGACTACGCTCTCCATGCCATGAGGGAGCTGGTTTGGGATTTGGAGTTTAGGAAAATTCTCTTATCTGGAGTCTGAGGATTAGGTGAGGGTGGTATGGGATAAATGGGTTGTAGGACCCATGCTTCCTTGAGAAACAGGTACTGCCTATACCAATGATGAATACCTTTTTTTGAATACTTTTAGGGGTCTGCCACAGTGTAGGAGAATTTCAGATCCATTTTATAGATAATGAAATAAAGGCTTCTAGAGTGATGGCCTAAGGTCACAAAGCTGGTGAGAATCTGCTTACATTTCCCTTCCATGAGACCTCAAATTCGGAGAGAATTTGGGAGAATTGAATGGGGGGTGAGGGGCTACTCCGTGATTAGCAAACCTTAGGGACAAACAAACCACTGATTTTACTGAAATCAAGATTTTACTGGGCAACCTCATAGTGCCAGAGTGGTTGGTTGGCACCTACAGTGCCACTCCTCACTGTAGGTCACATAGGGCTAAAGGCAGGGTCAGATACCCTCCTAAGTCGGCTCTCCGCTCCCAGACCACATGGGAAAGAGAATGGGCAGCTCAGGTGGTATCTCCATTGACGCAAGGTGCTTTGAGAGGCAGGGGCTGACTCCGTGACTCTGGTATCTTTGGAAGAAATTGTAGATTCTGAACAGCATCCTTCAGCTGGGCCTGAGTATGCTCCATGTCAGTCAGGCGGCGCTCCTGGGGAGGCAGTGGAGGTGGGTTTGTAGCCAGAGAAGGATTGATCTCCAGCCCTGGCTCCTTTCCAGCCCAGATCTTCCCCAGGGCTCCAGCAGGAGTCTTACCATATTTTTCAGCCTGTGACCCTCACTACTTGAAAGACCACCCTCTGGATTCGACTGCAATGCCCTGTAGGGGTCAGGGGCAAGGGGGAAAGATCAGAGGCTGAGAAGTCTCTTTCAGCTCCAAGTAGGACAGGAGACCCAGGGGGCGGGGCTTGAAGTGAAGGCAGGGTTTGTTTAGGCTGGATGGCGGGGCCTAAATACGTCTGAAGAGAGGTCTGATCAGAGCTGGCATAGATAAGATGCGAAGACAGGTAATCAACGCCTGGAGGTGGAGATTGGCCCGTCCTGGGAGGGGTTGTGACAGGGTGGGAGAGCCACCAGGCTAAGTGATCCCTGTCCTGGCCCAACCTGATTAAGAGGGACTGATTGAGGGGGGCGACCTGGAGAAGAGGACTTGTTAGGGGACTGACCACGCTGCAGGGGGGGCGGGGCTGCCAGGGCCTGGACCTGTGGCTTGGGGACATGTCCGTGTCCTTTCAAGAAGAGATTTGGGAGCACTGAATGAAAGCAGAGCCTGGTCATAGTGGCTCAGGCTTGTAATTCTAGCGACTCAGGAGGCTGAGGCGGGAGGATCACAAGTTCGAGGCCATCCTCAGCAATTTAGTGAGGTCCTAAGCACCTTAGTAAGAACTTGTCTCAAAACAAAAAAATAAAAAGGGCTGCGGATGTGACTCAGTGGTTAGCCTCTGAGTTCAATCCCGGGTACCAGGGGGGGAAAATGCGGAGCTTGGTGAGATCTCATTGGTGCGGCCCGATTGGAGGTGGAACTAGTGGAGAGGGCGGGGCTCACCTAGGACTGAGCCTAGAGTCTAGGTCCTGCAGCTGACACCGCAGCTGCTCCTGCTGCTCCGTCAAAGCTCGGATGTGGGTACTTAGTGATTCCACGAGGCGGGACAATGCTTTCTGCTCCTCGCGAAGCGCGGCCACTTCGCACTGTAGCTCTGCCAACTGTGGGGAGACAGCAGCTGTTATCTGAAGCGTCATCTCGTTTCTTCCTTTCCCCAGAGATCCCGATCTGCTTCCCCACGGTTCTGCCATATAACGTTCCTGTTATACGGAGGGAGAAACTGAGGCTCAGAGAGGGTTAGTCTGGACCTGGAGTCACGAAGTGCCGCGAGCTTGGTATTGGAACTCAGTCTTGCCTGGCTTTCGGGCTTTCCTCCAGTCCCGTTCCTATCCACTCCCAGACCCCGCGCCCACATGGACCTGGGCCAGACCTCACCTTGCCCACCGGGCGGTGCGAGCCCAGAGCCTGGTCTCGGTCCCGCGGCTGGTCCAGCTGGCGCTGCCAGGGCACCGATGGCTTCCGAGGCAGTGAGGCAGAGGCCCCGGTCCAGGGTCGGCCGCGGGGCGCGGGGCCGGCGTGCAGGGAGCCTTTGGGTCGCGGCCGGGGCCCGGCAGATGGTCGGCGGCGGGCAGGGCGCCCGGCGGGGACGCTCTGGGTGCGCTGCACTTGCCGGGGGCGCCGCGGGGGGCGCTCCTCATCGGGTGGCGGCCGGGCCCAACTCCCTGCACCTTGAAAGCTGCGCAGAGACTGGCTCTTGGAGATGAGAGGGGTGTGCTTGGGGAGGTCCCGGGGGGCCAAGAAGCCGGGCTTCTCCCCTGCGGAGAAACTGGGGTGCCATGGAGAATCTCAGACCCTCAACTAGCCCCTGATTTGACCCCCGCCCATTGGCCAGAAATGACCCCATCCCTGTGACCTTGTCCCCAAAGATCATATTTTAACCTATGACCCTAATGAGACCCTATCCTTGATTTCTGACTACCATTCTGTCATTTCTATGACTCTTGACATAACCTTTCCTCTCTTTCTAGCCTCTCCCATGACCTCTGACATTTGTAATCCTTGGTCTGATCCTTCCCATTACCTCTGATTACATTCTGATCCTGGGTTTGACCTCTGCTTACAAGGGCACCCTCTTCCTTACCAATGTGGCCCCATCTTCTCCCCAACAAATGTTACATTGATCCTGTTGTTCCTGTTCATTGGTAGAATATGATCCCTGACCTTGATCCCAAATATGACCCTGTCCATAATGCCTGACCTCACCTGACCTAAGCCTGACCTCTGCTTACAATATGAATCTGCCCTGACACTTGATGACTATGTTCTAACATCTGATCTCAAACCAACCCCTGATTTTACCCCCTCCACAACATCTGATTGAAAAGCGACCTTAGATCTCTGATTGCAAAGTTACTCTCTCTGACATGAGGTGACCTCTCTCTGCTCTCCGACATGACTCTATCCCCACCTTATTTATATTCAATCTGACTCAGTGACTAGCTGCCCTCTACCATATGTGAGCCCCCCACCTCTGGCCTCTGTCCATTCTGACACTGTCCCCACCATGGTCCTGCCCCACGATCCCTGTGATTTTCACCTGTGACCCCCCCAGTGTGAGAGCCCTGCCTCTGCTCCCAACCATCATAACCCAGACCAGACTTGAGATTACCTGGAATGGACCTGGGGTGATGGAAGACGCATTGGCACAGATACAGGGACGGGCTGGCCCTCCTCGATGGCCCTCAGGATGGTGGGCAGTGGTTCCAAGCTGTCACGGGTTGTCTGGTGAGGCATGCAAGGAGGATGCTAAGTGAGCTTCTGCAGCCAGAGTCTCCCAGGCTTTTTGCCTTCCCAGGGCTTTGTGCTCAGGTCACACCTGGTCAAGTTCAGCAAAGATGGTACAGAGCTGGGCATGCAGGACTGCCAACTGGAGAGCCAGGTCGCTACTGCCTTGGTAGCCACTGGGTGCAGCATTCACATCCACCATGGCCACCTGGTCCAAGAAGTGTTGCATAGCTGGCCCATGATCTTCCAGGAAGCTATTCATGAAGCCCATGTAGGCTTCCTTCTCACCAAACCTAAGTCAGAGCCAGGCTGGATGAGTCAGGTCAGGCATCTTGCCACCCTTGTGCCCCCAGCATGGCCTCCCAATCTCCCAGCACCTACGGGGCATGGTTGGCGAGGTTCTGGATAACTTTGGCGATCAATGTGAGGGTGCGAGCTGGACCAGGTGCTGGGTGCTCTGGTGCCAGGCCAAAGAGGCTGGGTGCCAGGAGAGCAGGGCATAGAAGCCTCAGGAAGAGGGAGGCACACACTAGTCGGGGGCCCAGTGCCTCGGAGCCACGTGCTTTACATGCTTCTCTCCAGCTTGAGAAGACAGTGCCCAGCTCTGACGGGAACCAGCTGGGGCAGAAGAGATAGTAGTCAGAGGAGGCAGCTATGGGCATAAAGGTCCTGGATGGTTAAGGTTATAAGAGCAGGGGTTATACATCAAAGGAAGCATTGCATGGCTTGTCTATGATCCCCCAAGGAGCTACTCATGAAGCCATGTAGGCTTCCTTCTCACTGGGGTCCAGGTACCAGGATTGAGGATTTAATGATACTTGGGGTTATAAGTCCCCATAAGGTCAGTGCTTATAGTGTAGTTATTATGGCAACCTCTGGAATCAGTACTTTTGGATTTGGTATCCTGGATCACACAGGAACAAAGTTCATATGCTTGAGATGTAGTTATAATTGGAGATGAGACTGAGGTGTCAGAGTATATGATATGAAGTAGGATGGGATTAGGGTTACAGGGCCACTTAGAGTCAGATGCCATGGGATTTAAGCACCAAAGTTAAGCTAGAGTCAGAAGTAGTCAAGGGACAGGAATCCCAGGTTTCCTGTGTTCAGTTGTATAGGATTTGGGATACAGGGTGACCTAAAGTTGAAGAGTCATGGGATTAGGGGTATGCATCATCTGGAACCAGAAGTCATAAGATTGAGGTTTTCTGTTAACTAGGGTCAAATGGCATGAAATTGGGGTATGGAATCTCCTCAAGGTTACCTGGGGTCAGGTGTCATGGAATTGAAGATATGGTTGACAGACAGCCAATAAAATTTCAGGACATCCTGTTAAATTTGACTTTCAAATAAATAACAAGTAATTTTTCTAGTGTAAGTATAACCCAAATATTGCATCAAATTTAACTTAGTGTCTTGTATTTCATCTGGCAGCCCTAATGGGAGGATTGCGGTTATCACAGTGGCTGAGTGGTGGGGATGGGGGTGGGCTCAGGTGGCTGGGTCCTTGATTCTTACTCATAGGAGTGAATGATGGTTTCAAAGACCTCCTCACAGCTGCTTCGAAGTCTGGACTGGTGCTGGGGCAGCTCTGATGCTGGGCACTTGCTGGGGTCCACCTCACAGTCCTCAGTGGAGGCACAGAGATGCTGAACAACCTCCCCTGAAGACAGGAAGAGCCAGATAAAATCCAGGGTCATTATGACCCAAACCCACTGCACCCAGCCTTCAACCCATCTCTAACTTACTCCAGAGGCATCTAACATCTTCAGGAGTTTCCATCCCCCCCCCAGGACACTAGCACCCCCAAAGAATCACCAGAATCCAGGCTACCCAGGGCCTCCTACATCTCTTCGGGTCCCTTAGCCCACCCAGCAAGCCTTTGACACCAGCTGCTCCCCTCCCAGCTCACCTAGGGTCTTCTGGAGGTAATCCTGGGCCACTAGCTTCATGTACTCATCAATGGCCTTGGTGGCTAATGTGTTTTCTCGGAACAGCAGCGCCTCACGGCCTCCACAGCGTGCCAGCTCGGCTGTGCCCAGGTCTGTTACCAACGCCTGGGTAAGGCAGAGGTCAGTCACGTTGTGCAGACTGAGCCGGGGTAATCTTGGCCCTAGACCTGATCTTCACACCATTCTTCATTCTTGCCCCTCCTTGTTGACTGCCCACCCCTCACTTTGGGGCTCATAGCTGAGACCAAAACCTCCACTCCTCAAGGCAAAAACAAGCCCTATATTACGGAGGCTCTGCTCAGGCTCCGCCCCTCGCAGCTGAAGTTCAAGTCCTGCGCCTCACAGGTGATGCTCAGGCCCCGCCCGAGATTCTCGTCCCTTACTAGTACTGCTCAGGTTTCGCCTCCCCACTCCACTAATTGCCCCTAGGTTGTCCCGGTCCGCGCAGTCGTGGCGCCTCACCTGCGCCCGGCCGGTGGCCTGCAGCACGCGCACCATGGCGGCTGCCAGCTCCTCCTTGGCCTGCGCAGGCAGCGCGGGCTCGAGCGCTCCGCAGAGGCGCGCGTAGTGGAAGGTGAGAAACTCCGCCAGCTCCTTGTAGCGCTCCGACGGCAGCACCCGGAGGCGTCTGGCCCGGATTCGCGCCCGCAGGGCCGCACCCGCTGGCTGCCCCAGCAGCGGGAACCAGCGCTCCAGTCCTGCCGCCGGCGCGCGGGGAGCGCTCAGCTCCTCCAGATTCAGCGTCACACGGCCCAAATCTGCTCCCGCTGAGCCTCCGCCGCGAAGCCTCAGTGACAGGCGACGGGCCGGTGGCAGCGCCTCGAAGTGGAAGCGCTCGGCCCAGAAGAGCTGGCCTGGGCCAGCCCGCGGTGCGGTGCGCGCCAGCAGCGCGCCATCTAGCCACAATTCCGCTCGCACGCCCGACGTCCCAGCCGCTCGGGGCAGCCCCTTCGCCTCATGCACCCACACGCTCAGCCACGTCTCTTCCCGCTCCACGTTGTCCTATGGGCAGGAACCAGGAGGCAGAGTGTTTCGGAGGCCTCAGCGCTCCAAGTTGGATAAGCGGGAGAAGCGCGGAGCGTCCAACGCTGTGCGCCCTGCCCCAAGGAGATTGCTGGCCCTTGGGAAAAAGCGTGGGGCCTCGGGGGTCCAAGATAACTACACAGAAGGTTCTAGCTTTGGGAGGGGTTGCGGTTCCCAGAGAGATAGGGGCTCCATGATATAGAGGAGTAACGGGTAGGTAGGGTTTTGGACGCAGATCGTGCCAGGATGAAATAGAGGGGCTGTCTGATCTGTTGCTGGCTGGTGCCATCACAGATGCAAAGGTTGTGAAGGTGTGGGCGAGTGTGTTTCAGGGGAGAGAGTTTGGATCGAGCAACGTTTGGGTAGAATGGAAAGGGCGCGCCCGGGCCCGTGGTCAGGGTCTCCATGTCCAGCTTTTCTCGGGCAATGAATGACCTGACTGGGCTGGAAGTGGCGACGAAGATCCTCAATCCAGCGATCTCTCTCAGCGCCCGAGCGACAGGAGAAGCAGCGGCTACCGCCCATCCACGTTACCTGTTGGAGCAGGGGATCCAAGGGTGTGGTTGAAGCCAATGGTGGCACCAAAAGGTCGGGGGTGGGACGCAGGGGGAGGATGGCTTGCACTAACCTGGAAACAGTAGGGCTCTCCCAGGAGGCTGGGGTGCAGTGGCCAGACCCGCACCTCCCGTTCGGCACCCAGGTCCAGCTCAGAGAGTGTGGCCAGTGATTCTTTAGAGCCCATAGTACTGGGGGATGGGGGGGGCAGAAACCCGTGAGCAAGCATCATTCCTCCCTTCCCTCCACACCCACCATAGCCTGAAGGGTAGAGGAAGGCCAGGAACTTGAACTTAAATTGGATCCTGTTCCTATCCTGCCTCACGGTGGCCTGCATGACCTCAGAAAGACCAACCCTTGTCACCCTCTTTCTGAACTCCACAGTTGGCCTTGTTTTTTGTCCCTTTCTGCCTCTTAGCCTTTGCACTTGCCATTCCTTCTGCTTTTCCCAACCCTTGGCCTAACTTTCAACCAAGGTGTCAGCTAAAGTGTTCCTTCCCTGACCCTCACAGACCAGGGTCTTGACTCAGCTCCATTTTAGAGCTCACCCCAACCCTTCAACCAAAAGCAGGCTCTGTGTCAGGATATTTATGGCCCCAGCATCATGTGACCTGGGGCAGAACACAGAGGAAGGGATAGGAAGTGTTTAGGGAAGGTGGGATTGATAGGTGCTGGGGGACACATATTGAACCCCAGGCCCTCTGCCCGCTCCAGCCCCTCAGAGACCCTTACCCATCCCTGGAGGTATTGGCTCCCAGCTCAGACCTGGCCTTTTTCTTCTCTTTCAGCCTCTTGAGCAACCCCTGGGGAGAGGTGGACATCAGCTGGGAAGAACTCTGTGCTTCCTTCTCAGCTCTTTCCCTCCCAGATGTCCTGGAGGATCTGCTGGTCTCAGTGGACTCACACCAAACCCAGGCTGTATTACTAGCAATAATAAAGACACCCGGCAGCTCACATTTCTAAAGCATCCACCATCAGCTTTTCTGCATTCTCTATCAACTCCTTGTAAACAGACCCAAGAGGAAAATTCTCATTATCTCTATCTGATGGATAGGGGGACACAGAGACCCAGAGAGGATCAGCGACCTACACCAGATCAACCAGTAAAAGTGCCCCTTCAGCTCTGAGGGTTTCGGAGTCCTCGCTCACCCCTGCCCGCGCTCCCCTCTTGCCACTGGCTGCCTCACCCGAACATTGTGGACCTGGTTGGAGCCAGCAGCCTCTGGCTCTGCCTTTCCAAGGGTCCGATCTGTGGGTAGTCAGAAGTGGCAGTTTAGGGCTTGGAATCATCTTAGTCTGCCCCACTTTGAGAGGCTCCCAAATACCCGAGCCTTCCCCGCCTCTCAAGAGACTTACCTGCATCCCTGAGGTTCCCCATGGCCACTTGCATGCTGCCTTCTGAGCTGGCACTTCCCACCCTTGGCCGGCGAGGACCCTGTTTTCCCACAGGAGCAGGCAGTGAGAAAGTGGAGGGAGATAGGCAGAGGAAGGGGCAGATGCCCTTCCCTCCCGTGCCAACCCTATTTTCCCTTTCCCTCCTTCCCTCCCTTTGCCCACGTGCCCCCTCTCACTTCCTCCTCGCCCCCGAGCAGCACCAGCCTTCCATCAAGCAGGGTGAAGCCCCCAATATCCCAGACAGGCACATCAGGGGTGGGGGCCTCGGGAATCTGTGGGACGTGAGGCTCCGGCTCTGGCTCTGGGAAGAGAAGGAGGTGCTAGATGACTTAGTCATTTCTTCTCCCTCCAGTCACCGTCTCCATGCACCCAGGCTCATCAGCGGTCCCCTCTTAGGTACACTCTCTGATAATCATGTCAGGCATGCATCTACCACTCTCTTGTCCTTGTCCCCACCAAACACACAGCCCACCCGCTCGCCCAGGGTCACAGAGTTTGTGAGTGGCCGAGTCAGGCTACAAACACCGCATTATTTTCTTAACCAAGGTATTGGGTAGGTTCAAGAGGCTAAAACACAGGGGTTAGGGTTGTAGCTCTGTGGTAGAGCCCTGGCCTAGCACATGTGAGGCACTGGCTTTGATCCTCAGCACCATATAAAATTTTTTTTAAAGTTATAAAAAAAAGGCTAAACAGGACAGAAGCCATGAGTCCTTATACAAATAAGTCTAAGGTGGAAAGATTCAAAGTTTGAGAAAGAACAGAAAAATCTCAGGGTAGGGGGAGGTCCCTTTCTTGGGGAAGGGGAGGTAGCAGTCAGTGGCTCAGGAAGGCCTCCCAGAGAGAATAAGCTCACGGTAGGTCTTGAACAAAAGGTTAGATTTTGGTAAGCAGAGATGAGAGAAAAGGTGGCAGGAACATCTTGAGCAAAGGCTGATGATGAGCACAGCCCAGAGACATAGAGGGGAGGGCTTGGAGGCAGGAGGAGAAAGCCCAGGAAGAGATGGGAGCCAGGTCTTGGGTGGAGGTTTCCCTGTTGGAGGAACTAGGGTTTTATTCGAAGGGTAGTAGAGACCCATGAGAGGTGTTTGAGCAGATTTGCTTGTTGGAGTGCTTTCTCTGGACCCTATGCAGTGAACAAGCCCTGACATCCTGGGAGATGCCTCTGCAAACTGGAAATATGAATAGAGAGATTTAACTGAGCTCCCAGTAATAGAAGAGTGGAATCAGCCCTGTCAAATGACCGCCTGCTCCCTTGCTTTACCACTAGGGGCAACAAATGATAACTCCTACTTATTAATGGATCACTTACAATATGCTGGGCTGGGCTTGTGCCACATTGCTGAGCTCTAATCCTCATGATATCCATTACCTTCTAGATCCCTTGGCACGACACTTGGAACCATCTGTCATTTTTTTTTTGTTGACCTTTTTTTTTTTTTTTTTTTTTTTTTTTTACTGTCTGTCGCCTCCACCCACCACCACCACCACACTGTGGGCTCCACAGGGCAGGGAATGTCATCTGCCTTGTTGCCTTGTTCACTTGTGCATCTTAGTGCCTCAACCGGGGACTGGCCCATGATCGATGCTCAACAAACGCCTGTCTGAATGAATAAATGGAGGGATGAACATGAATGAATGAAACACTGTGACCTTCAAGGTGGAGATCATCATTTTCCCGCTTAACTAATGGGGAAGTGGAGGCTCAAAGGAGACCAAGAGACACAGGTAAGACTCAAGGCTGGAGATCAGAAGGCAGAGGAGGTGGGTATCCAGGCAGAAGAGACGGAGCCCAGACCATTGAATACAGGAGAGACCTGTTGGGGCTGAGAGCCATTTGGCATCTGGACAGTACTCGTGTGCTCTGCGCCCTCTCCTTTCCTCAGTCTGAAGCCCCTGACCATGGGTCCTTGGCAACTCTACGTCACCCCTCTTTAGGTGAAAAGAGGGAAGAGGGCTGCCGGCCCCAGTCACTTCCTGCTGGGCTTCTGCACTCCCCACAACTTCCTGTGTCTAGAGGGCTGATGCTCTGGTGGCAGACAAAACCCAAGCATCCGGCCACCCAGCCCTGCCCAAGTTCAGGGTGGGGGGAAGCATGTACCTGGGGCTTCTGGCTCCAGCTCTGGCTCCTGCGGTGGGTTCTTATGTCTTCCCCAGAGGGTCTTGGATAGCCTGAGGCGACTGGTCCGTGACTCCTTGGGGGGTGCAGAGAGGACCCGACGGAACAGCAAGCGGGGGGCTGGCTGGCTGCTAATCATGGGCTCCTGGTGGCTCAGTGCTCTTCCCCAACCAACGAAGCGGCCCCAGCGGAACCCACCAGTCCCCTTCTCTCCTCCACCTCCTGTGTGCCAGCGGTAGGATGTCGGCAGAGGTGGGGCAGCCGGCTGGGTTTGGGAGCTCTGTCTCCGTGACTCCATGGTGGAGGCTCTCCTGCAGTACTAGAGAGAGACAGTGCTGCCCAGTGTCTGCCCACATACTTTCTGCATCTTGACCACCCCTCGGTTCTCAGCTCTACCTCCAGATAACCCACTTGGGGGGCCACATGTATTATCCCTCTTACCTTGATTTCCTGGCCAGCCCCAGAATCAGCAGCTTTCTGCACCCTGCCTGGCTTCCTCCCGCTGAACCCAGGTCCACGTGACCCTGTCTGTCCCACCCCACACCACAGCCAGGCTGGGAGGGCACAGAAGGGGCAGGATGCAGGGGCGGGGATGGAGGGTAGGTGGCAGAGGGAAGGCAGCAGAGAACATTTCTGGCAAGAAGGTCCCAGAATCCCTCACTGACCGGAAGGCAACACATGCTCCTCTCCCTGAAACTCAGTTGGCTTCTCTGCAAAATGGGCACATGCTGAATAAATGTTGGTAAGGATATGGAGCACTGAGAGTTCTCATCTGATGCTAGCCAGTGTAGATTGATTCACTCATACTGGAAAAATGTTTGGCATGATCTCCTTATAGAAATGGGAAAAAGTTCTCTCTTTCTCTCTCTCTCTTTTCCCTTTGGCATGATGCTTGGCAAGCGATATGTGACTGAGCTATACTTCTAGCTCCTCCCACCTTTTAAAATTTTAATTTGAGACAGGGTTCTGCTAAGTTGCCCGGGCTGGCCCCAAACTTTTCCATTTTCTTGCCTCAACCTCCAGAGTAACTCTGATTACAGATGTGCACCACCATGACATCTTTTGTTGTTGTTGCTGTTCCTTAAATGGAAGTGAAATTCATGTGACACACGTTTAACATGTTCTAGTTTTTGAGCTCGGTGCTGGTTACTTGGGTGTGTTCTGTTGTGAAAATTCGTCAAGTTACGTGGTTTGGTGCACTGCCCTGTATCTTACGCTTCAATAAATGTGTACTTGAAAATGGGGGCAGAAAAGAAGCTGTTACGATAAATGAGTGAGTCAGCATCACTATGGCCCAGAAGCTGGACAGGGGTGGGTTTGAGTGCCAGCTGGTCCCTCTCTCGCTCTGTAACCTCAGACAAGTCACTTCCTTTGTCTGAGCCTCGGTTTCCTTATTTGTACAAGATGATAATATCAGTTTCAAAAGGTTCATCATGGGAGCCTTCGTTTATTTGACCAATGTTTCCTGAGTGTCTGCTGTGTGCTAGGTACTGAAGAAGCCACTGGGAACTACATGAACTTGGTTCCTACTCTCCTGGAGCTCCCAGTACATTGGGGGGATACAGATAATGAATGAAAATAGGGGATGTTTCTCACTGGTGAGGTGGACTTGGAGGGAACTAAGGCTGAGCAGCAGTGACACTCTTTGGGCTGGAAAAATCCAGGAGGACTTCTCTGATCTTTGCGACATCTTTGCAACCTGAAGCAGAAAAGAAATGAGAAGATCATACCAAGGAGAAGCAACAGTTTGTGCAAAGGCAAAGATAACAAGAATCCATGGGAGTGCCAGGTGGGCATAGTAGCGCGTGCCTGTAATCCTAGCAACTCTGGGGTTTGAGGTGGAGGGTCTCAACATCGGAGGCCAGTGTAGGCAAATTAGCAAGATCCTATCTCAAAGTAAAAAGGGCTGGGAATGCAGCTCAGTGGTAGAGCATTTGTTTAGCATGTGTGAGGTCTTGGGTTCAACGTCCAGTATTGAAGAAAGAAGAAGAAGAAAAAAAAAAGAATCGATGGAGCAGGAAAGACAGGACTGACTCCATGGGTATATGGTCCTGGACGGTCACAAAGGACCCCAGACACAGAAAGGTCCCATGCTTAGTTTAACACTTTGCTGTCATCATCTTGAAATGCTTACTTTGAACAAGAGATCTGATATTTTTATTTCACACTGGGCCTTGAAAACTCTGTAGCCCTCTGTGAACAGGAAGGTCTTTTTTTTTCTTTTTTGTAAAATTATTTTTAATTAATTAATTAACTTTTAGATTTTGGTACTGGAGTTCACCACTGAGCTACATTAAAACTTTTAAAAATATTATATTTATTTATTTTGGGGTACTGGGGCTTGAACTCAGGGACACTCAACCCCTGAGCCACCTCCCAGCCTTATTTTTATTTTATTTAGAGACAGTGTCTCACTGAGTTGCTTTTGCTGAGGCTGGTTTTGAACTTGTGATCCTCCTATCTCAGGCTCCTGAGCCTCTGGGATTATAGGCATGTGTCACCACACCTGGCTAAAATATGTTTTATTTGAGACAGCGTCTTGCTAAATTGTTGAGATTGACATTTGTGATCCTCCTGCCTCAGTTTCCTGAATCATGAGGATTACAGGCATGCACCACTATACCTGGCAATTATTTTTATTTTTAAATTTTATTTATTTATTTTGTGGTGCTGGGAATCAAACCCAGGGCCTCATGCATGCTAAGCAACTGCTCTAACACTGAGATACACTCCTGGTCCTATCTTTATTTTTAACTGATAAATTGTAATTGTATCCATTTGTGAAGTACAATGTGATGTTTTGGTATATGTGCCCTGAGGAGTGATTAAATCAAGGTGGCGGGGGGTGGGGGTGGCTTTAGTGAGAGCCAAAGACCCTTCTTCTGGAGCTGGATGTATTTATGCACGTGTACATACACCTCAGATATGTCCACCTTAGACATGTTATTCAGACCACACTCCCACCACTCACTGTACACGTGTCAAGACTGTGTCCCACCACATCATCTGGGCCTTTACTCTTCCACTGCACACCAGCCTCACTCCCAGCTCCCAATACCCTGCATTTTTTTGCTGGAGGATTTTCTCTAGCAAACTGAGTCTAATTCTCCCAGGGGACAAGCATTCCAAAAGTGCCATCAAATTAATACTTCCCCAAGTGTGGTTCTTTGTCAATGACCCTCACACATATAACTCTGAGATATGTGTCCTCTGCTGTCCCCCAGTGGGCTTAAACCTTGGTTGCTCACAGTGGAAACTTGCTAGAAAACACATCTCTTCCTGGTTACTTCTCCTTCCCTGCTTTGCTTTCTCATTCTGCAACTGATATGTCCTGAGATAACCCCCAATCAACCATTTGTACTAGATTTCTTTCTTTCTTTCTTTCTTTCTTTCTTTCTTTCTTTCTTTCTTTCTTTCTTTCTTTCTTTCTTTCTTTCTTTCTTTCTTCTCCTTCTTTTTCGTAGTGCTGGGATCAAACCAGGGCCACCCACATGCTAGGCAAGCGCTGTACCACTGAACTATATCCCCAGCCCCTTGTATCAACACTCTTGTCTTAGGGTCTGCTTCTGGGCAAAGTCAAACCAGGATGATGCATGCAAACACAGACAATGTGTGAACAAGAACTTTCTTTCCATGGTGTCTTTATTGGAGATCTGTAGCGGCTGGCAGGATCATTAGAGGTGGCTCCCTCTTGGATCTCTGGAAGACCCTCCTGGTAGTTCTTAATTTTCAGTCTAGAAAAGACAAGGGAGTATGATTCTTGGGGCTGTTTGTAGCTGGGTCTGCTCTCCCCTTGGGATCTAGGACATGGGAGAGGATCAGGGTTCAAAGTGAGGGAGTGAATATAAAACTGATTGCAGGCCAGGATGGAAAGATCAACAGCTTAATGAAATAGAGTGGCAGTTATACAAGTAGCATGATTGTCCAGATGTGTGTTGTTGTTTTTTTGTTTGTTTGTTTTGTGGTAATAAGGATTGAACTTAGGGCCTTGAGCATGCCAGGCAAACATTCTACAACATGCTATATCCCAGTCCTTTTCATTTTTATTTTGAGATAGTCTGGCTAAATTGCTGAGGTTAGCCTTGAATCTTGGATCCTCCTGCCTTAGCCTCCCCAGTAATTGGTATTACAGGTATGCACCACTACACCTGGCTAGTGATTAAGTGTTTTAGGGATTGAGGTCAGGGACTGGGATGAAGTCTTCAGGCAATCTAGGCTGGGCCTAGATTGTTCCAGTTCTCACCAGATTTCAGGGGCTGAACAAGCTTTCCAAGGGCTCAGATTATCTGGGCAACAGACAACTGGAGACTGGACAGAGGTTGTGCAGGCAAAGGAGTTTTGGGTAGAAAGCCAGAAGCTAGGTTAGTGTCTGTGGACAGAAGGCCTTTGGATGAGGAGGAGGCAGTAGCAAGCCCAAGGTTGGGTATGCTGGGTTGAATGGTTTGTTTTTTGTTTTTGGTGTGGGGAGGGGCAGAGAGAGAGACTGGGGATTGAACTCGGGGGCACTGGACCACTGAGCCACATCCCCAGCCCTATTTTGTTTTTTATTTAGAGACAGGGTCTCACTGAGTTGCTTAGTGCCTCGCTTTTGCTGAGGCTGGCTTTGAATTTGCCATCCTCCTGCCTCAGCCTCCTGAGCCGCTGGGATTACAGGCCTGAGCCATAGTGTCTGTTTGCTGGGATGAGTTTGTGCAGGCAGACGGGTTATGACTTGGATTTAGGTCATAAATACTGAGCTGCGGCTGTGAGGGCAGAGGGACGCTGACAGGGATCAGGGCCCAGGCAATGGTGGGAGGGCAGAGATATTGGGGCCTAGGCAAAGATCAAAGTGGCTGGCTCAGGGTTTGGGCTGAGGTTGTACAGGTAGAAGTTCCAGGACAGGGGATGTTGCCGGCGGGGACTGAAGACTGGGCTTTGCTTGCCAGAATAGATGAGTTGCAAGTAAGATCCGAGCCTGGTTCTGTCTGTAGTGGCAGGGGATGACAGACAGGGGTCAGAGGCCACTGAGCTGTGCACACAGAAGGGCGTCCATCTGCAGGAGTGCAGGCGGTGCAGACTTACCTCGGTGAAGTGCGGCCAGGTGCGCAGCAGACCAAAGAGCGCATCACCCGGGCAGTCAGTGGCCACCAGCTGGCGGTGGCCGAGCAGCTTGTAGTCTGGTCGCAGGAGTCCAGCGCGCGACGCGCAACTTGGCAGCACTTCGCGCACCATGCGTAGCGCGGCCTCGGTGGGCAGTGTCGCCGTGTAGTTGCCCACAAAGGCCACGCCGAAACCACGGGAGTTGTGGCCGAGCGTGTGCGCGCCCACCCAGTGCCAGCCGCGGCCCTCGTACACGTAGCCGTCGGAGCCCACCACAAAACTTCAGAGGGGAAGGGGAAGGAGGCATCCTGTGGCGTGAGCCAGGCTCTGCCCCTCATAGGGACCCTCCCCCAGATTCTGCCCCAGGGACAGGGGCCATCTGACCGCAAGACCTGCGCAGACACACTGCAGCTGATCTATACCGCTCAGTGCCACTCCCACACCAAGGGCCACCTGGGAAACTGACTTGCTCTCGGGATCCCCCTCTCAGCCCTGGCCGCGCTTCTCCACTCCTCTTCCCCTAGCCTCAAGTCCAACTCTTGACCCATTCGCAGCTTTATTCTGGTTCGGCCTTCACTGCTCTATCCCAGACCCAGACACTACCATGGGGCCCATCCTTCGCCCAGGTTCTGCTTCCTGGCCTAGTTCTTTCCCCTCATCCAGGCAGCCCACTGTTTAGGTGTTTCGGACCTCTGTTAAAGGCCCGGTCCTCAGTCTAGACCACGCCCCCATTCTGGCTTGGCTCCACCCACCACAAACTCCTCCTCTACCCTGTCAGGCTCCGCCCACTCACTCTATCCTGGAACTACAGCTCCACCCCTGGTCTGGCGGGGAGGGAGGAGCCTGGGGAAGGGTCAGCTCACCTGTAACCGATGTCATCCCAGCCTCGTGTGTCCTGGTGGAAACGCTGCATGGAGCGCATGTTGGCTGAGCATCCAGTGAAGGTGGTGCAGGGTAGCGCTGGCACGTACGTGTGATGCACGTATAAGAACCTGAGCGGCAGCTGCAATGGCTTCGGGCGGCCCCGGTAAGGTGCCGCTTCCCAGCGACATCGAGGATGGATGGCTGGGCATCCTGTGGGCAAAGGAGTCCAACGTGGTGTCAGCAAGCGTTTCCTGCCTGCCGCCTATAGCCTCGTTAAAGTGCACATATGGACCAGTCCTCCAGGATCTTCCCAGATACAGCAAGAGTCATTGGGATCTGTTTTAAATCTAACAGCATTCCAGTCTTGTAGGGATACCCACTGTTTCCCATCAACTTCAGAATAAAGCTCAAGAATTTTAGCTCAGACCTCAAGGTCAGATGCTTTCTCCAGATGGCCTTGCCCTGAACCCTAGGGAGGGTTAGCCACGCTGACGGGGATGGGGGGGGGGGAATCTCAACCCATTTACTGAGCTCCTACTGTGTGCTACTTTCTTTTCCTTCCTTCCTTCCTTCCTTCCTTCCTTCCTTCCTTCCTTCCTTCCTTCCTTCCTTTCTTTCTTTCTTTCTTTCTTTCTTTCTTTCT